AGTGTCTAAAATTTATTTTAAATAATTACTAGCTTTAAACAGCAATAACTTATTTACTTTAAATAGAACACCCTGTATATTTTATGAGAATCAGATGCACAATTTAACGGCCTATCAAATTGTATTATACCACTTCTTACCTATTCCTTCAAGTTTTCGTAGAAAATGCATTTTCTTATAATTTAAACCTCATTTATCAATATACCCATGGAATATTGACATTTTAGATTGTTTTTAAAACAACAAATGTACAAAATGTACAGGCTAGTAATATTATCGTTTTTAGTAAAACGATAATATTACTAGGCCATTTGTGTGCAAAAAGAAAACTATTTAAATCTTTATAAAAGAGTATACCATTAATTAAATAAACCATCAGTATTTCCGCCCAAATACTAATTAACTACATACTTAATTGTATTCGTTAATAAATTATTCTAAATAAATGTGGATTTGAATCAGAAATCAATATAATAATAAGTTATGGAAATGAACGTATCTGTTGTTATAAATAAGCATTTGTCAAAAAATTAAATATCATTTTTAAGGTGTTACTTTCATACATAATTCAGCTTTTTAGTATTTGAAGCAATTATTATTAATCAACGCAAACAGTCAATTAATGTAGTTTCAATACTGGAATCATATTTTGGTCCTCTTTAACAAATATTTAAACAGTTTTTTTTTATTTTTTAATGAACTAAACGAACTATATCGACAATATTAGTATCTGTACTCTTTAAAAATTTGGTACATCTTTAAAAATAATCTAAAATGTCAGTATTCCATAGGTATATTGATAAATGAGTTCTAAATTACAAGAAAATGCATTTTCTACGGAAACTTGAAAAGATAGGTAAAAAACGGTATAATACAATTTGATAGACAATTAAATTGTGCATTTGATTCTCATAAAACATACAGGGTGTTCCATTTAAATCAAACAAGTTATTGCCGTTTAAAGCTAGTAATTATTTAAAATAAAATTTTAGACACTCTGTATAAGGTAGTATAATTTTTATTATTGCAACACAATAACTGATCAATAAATAATCTTCAGTAAATATTTAGTATTAAAAACGTTGATATCCTCGGAGAAATGAAGCCTTAAAATTTATACTGCAATTTCGCAAAATTGAAAATATTTCAAAAACGGTAAGGTTTAAGTGTAATAAACCTTAATCAAATTTACCTTTATTTTAATCGTAGAAACTAAAAATGCAATAATATACAGGGTGTTCCATTTAAGAAAATACAACTTTGATATTTTTTATTTATTTGGGACACTCTGTATCTTGTAAAAATATTTTTAAATTGTAGCTCTAATAGTCCTTCAACGAACCCAAAACTTACAATTTGTAAAAATCTAGTCGTTTAGCTACAATACTCCGTGTCGTATGTGGTGAACAACCCTGTATATTAGTATACATAATGATGATCAAAAAAAGACTTAAGTCGTCTGTGAGCTTGCAGCTGTGCCTGTAGATTTAATGAATCATTTTTAAACCGTTCTTCTTAGCCTATTACGCAAGTGAAACTCAACGCAAATAAATTAAAAATCGCTCGTATTCAGGACCAACAATCAACAGATCAATGGAATTCAACATTCGTAAGAGACTTATAATTGGGCACACACATGATTTATTTTCACTTAACAGCTCTTTTATGTAACCAGATTTCTCTATGGTAGCGTGATCTCATTCGATCTAGACCTTAATCTAGATCAAAATTTGAATTAAATAATCAAAAATACACTCGTACCGTTGTCAAGTTTAATGGTAGTAGTACCTTATGTTTATTTCATTATAACTGGTAATGAATACCGCGCCAAATTGAATCGATCTCTCATAATATTAGTACTACTACTGCCATTACTCGCTGACGAGTATTTGGGTTTTTCAGCGACTGTCTTCTGAGTGTAAAATTAACAAAATCGGAAATTTTCCCCTTGTGGTTTTTGAGCAATATGGGTGTTTTTTTTAAACTGTACTACAACAAAATAATTAGACGCAAATTGTACAGAAGAACATTCTCTATAAGTTCGCCTAATGAATTTTTTTTATAAGTTTATTATTTCCGGACTTAGCGGCCGTTTCATGAGCCCTTTGGGGTGGTTTTCAAAAAGTTTTTTAAAAAAAGTTTCATAAGACTTAAATTATACAGGGTGTTTAAAAAAAAATGCGAAAAACTTCAGGGGGTGATTCCTTGTTCAAAATAAAGGGTGGTTTGCTTTATAAACGTTGGGTCAAAAGTCAACCATTAGGGAGATATCGCGGTACAAAGATGGCGGAAAAATAATGTTTTTATTTTTTACCTTGAAAACGAAAAGAGATAGACTAATAAAATTTTACGGAAGCATTACTGTTATGAAAACACACTTTCTGGTAATTTTTTCACTTTTTTAAAATGAGTGGAAGGGGTTGAAATAAACTACCCCTATCATTCTTGTTAACGAAATTTAAAGAAAAATCTTATCAAACACATGCAAAAAAATTAATTTGGAGAGATTAGTTTGTTTAGAAACTTTTTTATCTCTTGTATTTTTTTTATAAAACTCACCGATTTGAAATTAAAAAATAAAATGTAAAGCATTACATGTCAGGAGTAAAAATATTTTTAGATTAAGAATCTAGTGATAATAATGATAATAATAATAATCTAGATAATAACGTATTGCAGTAGGGTAATGTCAAATAAAACAATATTAGAAACATCCTAAAAAGTGAGAGCGGCCGACTAGATTTTTTCCTAAAAAAATTACAGCTGCCCACTAGATTCTATATCTAAAAATGTTTTTTGTCCTGACATGTAATGCTTTACATTTTATTTTTTAATTTCAAATCGGTGAGTTTTATCAAAAAAACACAAGAGATAAAAAAGTTTCTAAATAAACTAAACTATCAAAATTATTTTTTTTTGCATGTGTTTGATAAGATTTTTCTTTAAATTTCATTAACAAAAATGATAGGGGTAGTTTATTTCAACCCCTTCCACTCATTTTAAAAAAGTGAAAAAATTACCAGAAAGTGTCTTTTCATAACAGTAATGCTTCCATAAAATTTCATTAGTCGATCTCTTTTCGTTTTCAAGATAAAAAATAAAAACATTATTTTTCCGCCATCTTTGTACCGCGATATCTCCCTAATGGTTGACTTTTGACCCAACGTTTATAAAGCAAACTACCCTTTATTTTGAACAAGGAATCACCCCCTGAAGTTTTTCGCATTTGTTTTGAAACACCCTGTATAATAATATGGCCATATTGATTTTTCTCATGCTGACATAAATGTGAGAAAATTTCATCCAGTTTGTATGTTAATGGAAATTCTTGCTTTTCTTTATTCTCACCATTACAAATGATTAATTCGACGCGAACGAAATCGCTGGTACACGCTAGTAGTATATAAACTTTACATCACAATGCTATTAAACGATAGTAGGAATAAGAAAAAGTAAACTTTTATTATAATTGGCTTCATTTTGAAGCGCATTCCTATACCAAATTTGGTTTTAATCGATCTTGTTTTAATGTCAATCAAAACCAAACTGTTGAGAACTAGAATTTTAATCACATGTCGTTTCTTTATATGTCGCACATACCAAAAAGTCACTAACCTATACGTATCTACGTGTCTAAAAACTATCATAGAAATAAGACCTTAGAGATGTTCTAAAATACTAATTCTTATATGAAAAATCTCCCAAAAATCTTAAATCCCTCAAATAACTTAAATCCTCGCTAAAGATTATATTTAATTAATCTAGAAAATCCTAACGCGACTGTTCAGCTATAAGGATCACCCTGTATAGCACACACTTAACATCCTGAGCATAAAAATCGTATTTCTGACTTTTCATGAACGTAATGCTCCAATTATTTTACTTTAAACGAATGATTCTTTTGAAGAACAATGCAATAAGAACAGTAATTATTGTATTGTGCTCAATTCAAAACATTAAATAATATATTTATGTTGGCATCCACTTTGAACACAATATTCTTTGTTGTATGGGTTTTTGAAACAAAGAAATTACTACAGTCACATAAAAATACAAAATGGTGACTTAATACCGTTTAAACATTGTCTTAACGTGGTGACATAACAAAATACTATAGAACCACTGACATATTACAGGGTGGCACAGTATACTACTCTACACGGTGCTACAAATTCGAGGTACGAGCATTGGTATCTCGGTAACCGTAATAGATACGAACAAGGTCAAATTGGAGCAAAGTTGCGCTTTGGGATGTTCATCAAGATGATTAAATAATTTAAAAAGCCAGAGTCGGATTGGAAATTATTATAAATAATAATTAAATAGTTTTGTTGTTGTTAAGGTACCCAAAACAAATAAAAAGTATAAAGTGTGACATATCGTTGTACTCAGGAGACCGAGTTCCTTCAAAATCTGAAACAAAAAATGCAGGTCCGTATTTAAAAAAATTAAATTGGCCTTTGTATCTCCCAAATTATCAGCTAATTTGGAAATCTAAAAATACTATCAGATAGACCTAATAAAGTGGCTATGAGAATGTGCAATTAGTTTTTTGATTTTCTAAAATGTAACGACAGGAAAAAATAAAATTGATTTTCAAAAAAATCCGTTTTTTCCAAAAAACTCAGCAATCCTTGAAATTTTTAAAACTTTTTTGATAGCATCTTGGTGAATATCCCAAGACGCAACTTGGCAATCTATTACGGTTTCCGAGATACCAATGCTCGTACCTCGAATTTGTAGCACCCTGTATAGAGCTATTTATAAATTATGGTAACCCTATGAGATGAACTATGCTCTGTCAAACCGTTACAGATACTGGCTGAGATACTGAGACTGTATGATGATTTATATCTCAAGAAAGGGGACAGAATAGTATATAATTAATTAAATGATATATAAATTCCCCTATAGACTTATCTCTATATCTCTGACTTATACTTAATAGATTGAAATTTATTTATTTAAAATAATATATTTTTTCTAAATAATTGTTTTAGCCTGGTGGTCGACCTGAAGCTGACTTCACACTGGACGTTCCACGTTCAGAATTGCTGTCAAAACGATTGAAAGACGATAAGAAATGGCGTTTTAGGTGTAGACTGTTGACGTCATTTCTAGGCCTAGTCTTTTTCCTGCTGTCCGTCATGGCTGTCAGTCTAATGTTGACAAGGGGCAAAAGAATGTTTGGTAGCATGGTGTAACAAAAAAAAAACATTTTTTTTAATTCTTTTAGTTAATGAATACCCACTAAACGTTATCTGCGTTTTTTTTATTTAAAATAAGTGCCAGAATCTTGTTTTCTATCTCTTCTAGTAAAAAAATCATGCTTTTGTACATTCAAAAATATGCTTTATATTTTAAACGATGATTTTTTGAGATATTATGTATGAATAAAGAAATATAATTCTACTTATATTTGCTCAATTCTTTTGAAATATCTTTCGTAAAAATAAACTGTTTAGTTTTATTATTTTAGTTCAAGCTTTATTATGTCTATATATTGCTACAGTAAAAAAAAGACGAGATTTTTTAGAGTAATACATATACATACTGCAATTTTTAATTTTAATATTTGACAAAAACATCAGTTTTACTGTAGTTATTGACATAGCAAAATTTAAACTAAAACACCTTCAATATATAGATCACAAAGTATAGTTTTGTTGATATTTTTGTATATAAACCAACTATTATGTATTTATCTCTGTTTTAGGTAAATTTAAACCATACAAAGCAAATGTTTCTTATAGTAATATTCTATTTTTTATTATTTCTTTTTATGTGATTTTAGTTAATAACTTAATATTATTTTATTGTCTGTGAAATATTTAATTATATATTATAAATATTTAATTAATTTATTAGATTATAGCTGTAGAAATTGTATAACAATGTTTAGAAAAGAATAAAAACATATAGAAATAAAGAAAATTATTTGGAATTATTTAAGTGGTTTTATTTTTATCATATTTTAAAATAAAATTGTTTCTATTTAATAATTCCTTCACCATTGTGTCAAGAAAATTACATTATAATAAAACTTCTGAAATAAAAAAGACATATTATACTTATTTGATTTGAAGTTTGGGTTTTTCAATATTTTTTTGAAGAAAAAAATATCAAGTTGTTAAATATAAAGAGAAAAAAAAACAAAAAAAAACAATCAAATAATAATTTAAAATTTGTTTTTGGCGAATGCGCTAGGCCAGGGTATACAAACCTATCTTCTAATATAATTAATCTAGTGATGAGTACAAATTAGAACATGTTTCAAGAAACATTACTGTATTCAAAACACTACCCGTTAACACAATACATGCTGAAAACATTGAAAAATAATGGTTGAAATACCAAGAAGCCATAAATGTCTTCAGATTTTGACGGTGCATGCCACCAAGATTGCAAGTTTTAACAATATATTCGAACAAATAAGAAAAAATATGGCCTATAAATCATACTTTTGTTTTTAATACACTTTGGAAATTTTACCATAGGCTGTAGGCACAAGAATTCCTCCATGTCTTCAGATGCTGATGGAAGAGGCCATTAGGAGACCATTCTAGCAAGAACACCCCGTATATTTATTTCTCTTTAATGAATTTTCGACAGAAATAAATGTTTTCAAGAAGAAGTCTTCCATGTCTTCAGATGCTGATGGAACAGGATATTAAGAGACCATTCTAGCGAGAACCTCCTGTATATTTTTATATCTTTAATGAATTTTTGACAAATTTAAGCGTTTTCAACTCTTGTTTTTGATTTTAACACCCCAGAATTTTTTCCAGAAGCTATACAAGAAGGAGTCCTCCATGTCTTCAGATGCTGATGGAATAGGCCATTAAAAGACCATTCTAGCGAGAACCCCCTGTATATTTTTATATCTTTAATAAATTTTTGACAAATTTAAGCGTTTTCAGCTCTTGTTTTTGATTTTAACATCCGCTGGAATTTTTCCCAGAAGCTATACAAAAAGAAGTACTCCATGTCTTCAGATGCTGATGGAATAGGATATTAAGAGACCATTCTAACGAGAACCTCCTGTATATTTTTATATCTTTAATGAATTTTTGACAAATTTAAGCGTTTTCAACTCTTGTTTTTGATTTTAACACCCACTGGAATTTTTACCAGAAGGTATACAAGAAGAAGTCTTCCATGTCTTCAGATGCTGATGGAACAGGCTATTAAGAGACCATTCTAGCGAGAACCTCCTGTATATTTTTATATCTTTAATAAATTTTTGACAAATTTAAGCGTTTTCAACTCTTGTTTTTGATTTTAACACCCACTGAAATTTTTACCAGAAGCTATACAAAAAGAAGTCTTCCATGTCTTCAGATGCTGATTGAACAGGCTATTAAGAGACCATTCTAGCAAGAACCTCCTGTATATTTTTATATCTTTAATACATTTTTGACAAATTTAAGCGTTTTCAACTCTTGTTTTTGATTTTAACACCCACTGAAATTTTTACCAGAAGCTATACAAAAAGAAGTCTTCCATGTCTTCAGATGCTGATGGAACAGGCTATTAAGAGACCATTCTAGCAAGAACATCCTATATATTTTTATATCTTTAATAAATTTTTGACAAATTTAAGCGTTTTCAACTCTTGTTTTTGATTTTAACACCCACTGGAATTTTTACCAGAAGCTATACAAGAAGAAATCTTCCATGTCTTCAGATGCTGATGGAACAGGCTATTAAGAGACCATTCTAGCGAGAACATCCTGTATATTTTTATATCTTTAATAAATTTTTGACAAATTTAAGCGTTTTCAACTCTTGTTTTTGATTTTAACACCCCAGAATTTTTACCAGAAGCTATACAAGAAGGAGTCCTCTATGTCTTCAGATGTTGATGGAACAGGCCATTTAGAATACCATTCTAGCAAGAACCCCCAGTATATTTATTTATCTTTAATACATTTTTGACAAATTTAAGCATTTTTAACTCTTGTTTTTGATTTTAACATCCCCTGGAATTTTTCCCAGAAGCTATACAAAAAGAAGTCCTCCATGTCTTCAGATGCTGATGGAACAGGCCATTAGGAGACCATTCTAGCAAGAACTCCCAGTATATTTATTTATCTGTAATGAATTTTCGACAAAAATAAGCGTTTTTAACTCTTGTTTTTGATTTTAACATCCCCTGGAATTTTTCCCAGAAGCTGTACAAGAAGAAGTCCTCCATGTCTTCAGATGCTGATGGAACAGGCCATTAGGAAACCATTCTAGCAAGAACACCCAGTATATTTATTTATCTTTAATGCATTTTTGACAAAATTAAGCGTTTTCAACTCTTGTTTTTGATTTTAACACCCACTGGAATTTTTACCAGAAGCTATTCAAGAAGGAGTCCTCCGTGTCTTCAGATGCTGATGGAACAGGCCATTTGCAGAGCATTCTAATGAGGACCCCCAGTATATTTTTTATCTTTAATGCATTTTCGACAAGAATAAGTGTTTTCAACTCTTATTTTTGATTTTATGATCCCCTGGAATATTTACCAGAAGCTATACAAGAAGAAGTTTTCCATGTCTTCAGATGTTGATGGAACAGGCCATTAAGAGACCATTCTAGCGAGAACCTCCTGTATATTTTTATATCTTTAATGAATTTTTGACAAATTTAAGCGTTTTCAACTCTTGTTTTTGATTTTAACACCCTCTGGAATTTTTACCAGAAGCTATACAAGAAGAAGTCTTCCATGTCTTCAGATGCTGATGGAACAGGCCATTAAGAGACCATTCTAGCGAGAACCTCCTGTATATTTTTATATCTTTAATGAATTTTTGACAAATTTAAGCGTTTTCAACTCTTGTTTTTGATTTTAACACCCTCTGGAATTTTTACCAGAAGCTATACAAGAAGAAGTCTTCCATGTCTTCAGATGCTGATGGAACAAACCATTAAGAGACCATTCTAGCGAGAACCTCCTGTATATTTTTATATCTTTAATGAATTTTTGACAAAAATAAGCGTTTTCAACTCTTGTTTTTGATTTTAACACCCCCTGGAATTTTTACCAGAAGCTATACAAGAAGAAGTCCTCCATGTCTTCAGATGCTGATGGAACATGCCATTAAGAGACTATTCTAGCGAGAACCCCCTGTATATTTTTATATATTTATTACATTTTTGACAAATTTAAGCGTTTTCAACTCTTGTTTTTGATTTTAACATCCCCTGGAATTTTTCGCAACCAGAAGCTATACAAGAAGAAGTCCTCCATGTCTTCAGATGCTGATGGAATGGATAATTTATTTTTAACATATTCTAATGCGTTGATACCAAAAGACATTTGTATCACTTAAATAACAAAGAAAACATTCAAACCTTCTAAATTTGTAGAAATTAAAAACAACAGAAAATATATTTAAATCAGTTTATTTACAAAAGGCTTTCAACGTTTTTGCAATGAGACCATAAAAAGTACATTAAAAAATACAATATTCCTCATCAAATCTTCTTAATTTAGTGGTGTTGGTAACTTCCTGAACTTCCAGAATGGGACGAAGAAGAAGAGGCAGACTTAGCACTTGCAGCTACAACAGCCGCTCCAGCAGCTGCAGCATTGGACTGAGCCAGCTGAGCAGCTTCGGATGCTTTGTAGTACGCAGATTCAGTTTCGCTGAGCTCAGCTACTGCACTTTGCAGTCTGTGGATCAACGTTCCCAAGCGTTGTTTGGCTTCGTTCACCATGGATTGTTGCGAAGCTGCAACGTTGGCAGCTGCAGCAGCTGCTTTTTCGGAGATCTGACCACCGCCTATTATAAAAAGTGAAATTATAACATATTTCATATATAGACATATTTCACTTACTTTGAGCTGAAGCTAGAGCAGCGCTGAGAGTAGCTTGTTCGGATTGAGCTTGCTGAGCGGCTTGATGAGCTAATTCGGCAGCTTGCTGGGTCTCTTGCAGCTGAGCTACTTCAGCAGATAGTTGAGATTCAGCTTGAGACACTTGTTTCTTCAGGGCGTAGACTAGGGCTTGTTTACCTACAAGAGCTGCTTGAGCGGTTTGAGCAGCCTGAGAAAAGTCAGTTTACTTAAAAAAGTCTCATAAAAATGTCTCAAGAAAAAATATTTTCTCAGGAAAATGTACTCAGAAATTATTATTATTATTTTTATTAGAAAAGTTAATCGTTTTTATAGATCACATTTTTTATTGAACTTGGTCTGGTATCTCGTAAAAAAAAATATCTCAAGAAAAAAATATGTTTAAAAAAGTATCTATATAAAAATTAATTTCATTTTCGTGTACATATTTGTAATAGCAAATCTGAAGAAAAAAATATTAAATCTCAAGAAAACATGTCGCATCTTAAGAAAAAAATATTACATCTCAAGAAAAAAAATGCGATTTTTTATGAGATTGATGCAGTTTAAATAGACTTACTCCACTGGCTGCACTGGCTAAGGTGCTCTTAATACCAAAAGCAGCCTGGCTTCCTGCGGTGTGCTGCGATTGGACAGCTTTTTTAGCTTGGACAGCTGACGAATAAGCCAAGCTGGTTAGTTCAGCACCTGAAGCTTCTTTATTTACGTCCACGGCATGCCCTTCTTGTCCACCTAAAAATATTAAAACATATAAAATATAAAGTATTTAGGCTTCATATTTATTTTATTAAAAATCCCCAGTTTATGCGAAGATATATTGAATGAAATTTTCAAATTTCTACAATATTCTCTTTCTACAATAATATATATTTACCTGAATAGTCACCCCCGTAGCTACTGACTTCTTCATAATGACCTGAAGCTTGCACTTGCTGTTCAGGAACTACAAGTCTAATCGTCTTCTGCTGTCGGCCAGCTGTCACAAAAGCCACTAAAAACAAAAAGACACAATTTACAAAAGAATGCAAAAAAATTCATTTAAGATATTTTGAAAAAATTAATTTTAAAATACAAAACTCACCAGAAAAAGCTGCTAGTATGAAAAACCTGAACATCTTGGCCTGAAACAGATATCAACAAATAACAAAAAAATAAAAATAAAAGCTTAGAAAAATAAGTAATAAATAACAATAAAACCATGTCTAAAGAAACTTTTCTATATTTTTTTGATGAATGATTTGTATTTGAATGATAAGAGAGTTAATAATTTTTAATCTGTTAAAGTGTCAATCAATATATAGATTGGTTAAATAAGAAAAATAATAATACTGTATCTATATATGTATAGAGTATCTTTAAAAAGAATTATTATAAAGTAAAAAATATCTAAAAATTTTGGGTACCTAATGAACTTTTTTTTTTAATAAAATGAATGATTAAATTAGATATTATTAAGCATTTTTTGATGTACTAATGAATCTTTTATATATTATACTAGCGTGTACCAGCGACTTCGTTCGCGTCGAATTAATCATTTGTTATGGTGATGATAAAGCAAAGCAAGAATTTCCATTAACGTACAAACTGGATAAAATTTTCTCACATTTATGTCGGCATGAGAAAAAACAATATGGCGATATTATTATATTACTTGGTAATATTTGAGGGGTAGTTTCATCTCGTTGGAATTTGACTTTCGAAAAATCCGTTTGCCAAAAATAAGCTTTTTACGTCAAGCAGTTTAAGCAGAATCGTGATTACTCAATGGTCATATTTTATGAAACACCCTGTGTAAATTTATAAAAAATCTTAAAATATGTAAAACAACACAATAAAATACACGTTTTTAAGAGTTTTTTCGGAAAACTCACTGGTTTTTAAATAAAAAATATTTTAATATTTGAGGGATAGTTTCACCCCCTTGGAATTCGAGTTTTGAAAAATCCCTTCTTATCGAACCTCTACACCCTAAAGTCAATCTGTTTTCCAAAAATCAGCTTTTTACGTCAAGCGCTTTAAGCAGGATCGTGATTAATCAATGACCAGATTTTTCGAAGCACCCTGTATACATTTTTTAAAAATCTTATAATATGTAAAAAAACAAAATAAAATATACGTTTTTAAGCGTTTTTTCGGAAACTTGACCGTTTTTTAAATAAAAAAATATTGTAATATTTGAGGGGTGGTTTCACCCCCTTGGAACTGAAATTTCGAAAAATCCCTTCTTATCGAACCTCTACACCCTAGAATCAACCTGTATGCCAAAATTGAGCTTCTTACGTTGAGTGGTTTGAGCAGGATCGTGATTAATCAGTATGTCAGTCACTTAAGGATTTTCTATATTAGTATAGATATAGATTTATATAATAAACAATATCAGACAAATACAACATGTTCAAAAAAAAGCGGCGTCAGCGATGGCTGTGAAATGCAGATGGCTGTCTTTTTATATGTGAAATTATATAGGGAATGTCATCGATGTTCATTTCCAAACCAACTCGACGCCGTTTTTATCGATCATAAATACTAACGAAAAAACAATAAATTAAAAATGATAAATATTCATTAGTATAATAGAATCAAAATATTTGTACAAAATTTGAAAATAAAAAAAATTAATATCATAAAAATATAATTAAAAAAAATTTACAAATATAAGTTTTTGTACAATATGATGTGGTACTACGAGTACTTACAAAATTTGGGGTGGTTGCACTAATAAAGTGAAAGATGTATGTATTGAAGATGAAGAATCGTTCTTAATGTTCATGGTACTTGCCGTTGTGTATTTATACTGCAATAATAAGACTTCTTTGGTGGGGTACTAACGTGGTAGTACTATTCGGTATACCAGAAATTAATAATTCTGGGGTAGGAAGAATAAGTGTAACTAGATCATCTAGAAGATCTGTTACGTGATCCTTATAAGGAAAGAGTTATTGTATGTCGTTTGACGGGAGAACTACCGTTTATGATAGAGGAAAAAAGCGCGTCATAGTGGTTTTTGAAATGACAATCGATGATACATTTTGTCCGACTCTAACTCTATATGTCATACGAGAGATTAAATTCTCAAAACAAACTTAAATTTTTGGAAAAAAATTTTGATGTAGGATAGATATATGTACATACCGGGTGTTGCATCGTCGAGCGGGACATAGGAAATCCCAAGTAAATTTTAATGGGGTCAATTATTGGCTTCTCCAATTATTCAAAAGAATAACTTTAGATATTTTTGATTAGTCCGTTTACGAGTTATCGCCGATTTCTTTTTAAATATTTCTCCTTTCTTATGGCCCTGTATTTACTTATGAGCACCAGTCAAGGTAAAAGATAACTGTCAAATGAAGTTGTTATTTCAAAAATGTATCTATTTAGTGCTTTATTATTATTATTAAAAACTCATACCTACATCGAAAATATTAGCCATGAATTACACTACCGAAGGAAAAGTATTGATGATTAAATGGTATTATCAAGGAAACATTTATCAAAAGGTGTCGGACATGTTTGCTGCTCTGTATCCGAATAGACCGATACCTGGAAAATCTACAATCGCAAGGAATATCCAGAGATTTGAGACCAAAGGTACCCTAATAAATAGCTGCAGATGTGAAGCAAGGCAGGAACAAAGAGAAGATGCCAGAAATGATACCGACTTGGAAGTTTTATTGTGCGTGGAAGAGAACGATGGAAAGATCAGCACAAGGAAACTTGAGGATGAAATAGGAATAGATCACACTACAGCGTTTCGAATTTTGAAACGACATAAATACTATTCCTTCAAATATGAAAAGCACCAAGAGCTACGAGATGGGGACGAAATACGGCGGCAGGCGTTTTGTTTTGATATGATGGAAAGAGCAAACACGGATACGGAATTTTTAAAAAACATATGTTTCACTGACGAAAGCACGTTTACCTTAAATAATGATCCCAATGTTCAAAATTATCGATATTGGAACAAAGAAAACCAACACAGGTTTGTCGAAACAAGGATGCAATATCCACAGAAAGTAAATGTTTGGGCAGGGATATTCGGACGCAATATTATCGGGCCATTATTTCTTACGCGAAATTTAAATGCAGAATATTATTTGGAACTACTCGAAAATCATATTTTACCTGCTTTACATAATGCCGCTAGGGAAAATCAGGAAGCTTGGTACCAAATGGATGGCTGCCCGGCACATAGTACCCTGGCTGTTCGGGAATATTTAGACAAAAGTTTTAACGGAAACGTTATTGGCCTAAATCATACAGTAAATTAGCCAGCACGGTCTCCTGATACTTCGCCAAATTATTTCTTTCTCTGGGGCCATTTAAAAAACAGGATATACAAGATACCCAAAAAATATGCAAAATACCCAAATCTAGACGATGCTATTTCTGCCGAATGCAATAGAATTTCAGTTTACCAACTAGCGAATGTAAGAAGAGAATTTTATGATCGCCTGGGTTATTGTCTAACAGTCAATTGAGGAATATTTGAACATCTTCTTAAATCCTAAAGTTCTAACAATTTAATAGTACCTACCTAAATTAATAAGTTATTGAATATTGTAATAATACTATAATTAACCTTGTAATTGATTACTTTAATCTACTTGAATTCATATGAATTTGTATTTATAAATACACCTTTAAGATTTCCGATGTAGGAATGAGTTTTCAATAATAATAAAGCACTCAGTAGGTAAATTTCTGAAATGACAACTTCATTTGACAGTTATCTTTTACCCTGACTGGTGCTCATAAGAAAATACAGGGCCATAAGAAAGGAGAAATATTTAAAAAGAAATCGGCGATAACTCGTAAACGAGCTAATCAAACATATCTAAAGTTATTCTTTTGAATGTGGGTTTTAGTGCTCTTCAATAAACTTAAATAGAATTATTCTCTAAAATAATTAGGGAAGTCAATAATTGACCCCATTAAAATTTGCATGGGATTTCTTATGTCCCGTCCGACGATGCAACACCGGGTATAATCAATTTACTATGTAATAAATACTCAAAAATCTAAAATTATTAACAGATACTGCTAAAACGTTACTTAAAAACGTTCTTTGGGGTCCCAGAAGGGTTCTAGCACGGTTCTAGGCTTATAAATGGCATTGCTGAACCTTGTTTGACTATTTCATCTGTCTTTTCGTTACATTTGTGATCCTCGTGTCCTGGTGCCCAAACTAAGTTTTGCTACGTTCACCAATGTATTTAGAGCACTCACACAATCTCATACTAGTTTAGAATTGACCTCTATGCAAAAAAAGTATTTTAGCATGAAAAAAGGTGTCATTTTGGAGGTACAGTCACCTACTAACAAAAATTTTATTGATACGCATGAATGAAACTACGTAATCAATGATGTATAACTTCTATCATGCCATAATTCATAAATCAAACGCTTTTTTAATGATAAAACAATATAAATCCATTTAAATTTCCTTGTTATACCACCTCTGGGCACGTTTATCATCTAATATACCCTAATTTAACATAATCACTTCAAATTATCCTCTCAAAGCGAAGATTGTTTCGATATAATATACTTTAGTACCAATAAAAATCACAAGAGCATAAATCCGGCAGTAACGGTGGCATACCTATGAAATATTAGTACCACAATGTCTATTATGTTGAGATAAAAACGGAGAAATATTGGTAGAAAGCAGTGATGCTTTCCTGACAATATAAGAGCTTGTTTCATCTAATTACATTTGTTTTAATGATGGGTAATGCAGGAAAATGTTAATGATATCAGAATCAGGGTAATATAATTTGAAAATATCATTAGTTACATAAGAACTATCAGAACATGGTGTAAACTAACTTGACTTTTTGTTATTATTTATTTAAGATTTTTCTATTGACTCTGAAAGTTTTGAGACAAATAGTGGAGCACCCTGTATATTTTATTACAATTCAGACATTTAAAAAAATGATGTGGTACCTATAGAAAGTGTTGATTTTAATTGAAGAGAATGTTTCAAGAAGTTCGATTTTTTTACTTGAATATTATTGATTGACATAACATACTTCTACATATCAGTTCGTTTGTATATCGCTAATGGAACCTATCGATTCGAAATATAGAGGAACAATATAATGGTACATATATACATAAAAAAATATGTATCTACGTGTTACGAAAAAACACTAATTAATGCATTATCTCTTTGATCTATGGTTACCATTAGATTGTTAGAAGCATCGGAGCATACAGGTACATATACCGTGTACATATTTGTTCGTATTATTTGATTTTCGCAACATTTTTATTCGGTTTTAATTGTTTTTCGTTAATTTTATGCATTTATATTTGGCAATAAATTAAAGTTATAGCAGCGTATGCAATACTCGTAATAGTGATTTCATTTTAAATGTAATTTTTCCTGTGCTGTACTAACTTGCTCTTTAACTAGTAGTACCATATAGACATGTAAAAAAGATAGACTACAGTAAAATTAATAAAATTTACTATACAGGGCGCTACAAATTCGAGGTGCGAGCATTGCTATCTCGAAAACCGTAATAGATACGATAGTTGCGCCTTGGGATGTTCAAATCATCAAAAAAGTTATGTTCAAATCATCAAAAAAGTTTTAAAAATTTCAAGGATTGCTGAGTTATTTTGAAAAAACGGATTTTTTTTGAAAATTAAAGCGGAAATACACACACCGAAAAAGTCTAATGATATTACAATTTTATCCAGCCATCGTCAGTTGTTGTATTATTTGCATTTCTGATATAATAAAATTAAAATAAACAAATAGTTTACAGGACGTATTGGAAATAAAAATGCGAAATTTACCGAATTTTTCTAATTTACCTTGATTTTTATTGAACTCAAAAAAATACACACATTTTTTTTATTCTAAACTGTGAATTAAAAAAAAATAAAACCATTTTTACTTAATAAAGGGTATGGCCTCCTCTGCTGTTCATTACAGCCCTACATCGTCTCTCCATGCTCTTGATCAGGTTGTCGATCTCTTCTTGAGGTACAGCCTGCCACGCTGCATTCACGGCCCGAACAAGATCCCTACGAGTTTCACGAGGCATACCCATTCTCAAAATTCTTCTTTGGACCGCGTCCCATACGTGCTCGATGGGGTTGAGGTCAGGAGATTGTGCCGGCCAGGGTCAGATGTTTAATTGATGAGCATTGATAAACTCATTTACCACTCTGGCTGTATGAGGCCGTGCATTGTCATGCATGAGAATGAAGTTTCTCCCAAAATCATTGCCATATGGTAACACGATAGGCTCAAGAATTAAATCACGATATGTGATTCCTGTTAGAAACCTTTCAAGAAAAACGAGATCGGTTTTTCGGCCTAACTGGACTCCTCCCCAGACCATAACTGTTCCACCTTGATAAGGGTCCACTTCCTGAACATGATCCAACCGAATAAGATTTCCCGGTTCTCTCCATACCCTAAGCCTTTTCGAATCCGGATGAATTCCAAAGCGTGACTCATCCGTGAAGAAAACATTGGCCCATTGTTCATTCGACCACTGAACATGATCTTGAGCCCACAAATATCGTACCTCTCGATTTCCTCTCGTTAAGGGTTGAGCTCTCCAGGGGCGTCTGCTTCTTAAGTTGACCTATCTTAATCTATTGCGAACAGTGTCAGGTCTAACGGTTACATTATGTGTTTCCTGGAGAATTAAACTAAGCTCTGGTGCTGTAAGAGTCGGTCGGCGTCGAGCATTTAATTTGACACCACTTTCACGGTAGCGTGCACTTAATCGCGATATTACACTTTGCGTTGTGTTTAATGCTCTAGCTACGTCGATTTGGCGCATTCCAGCTTCGAGCATACCCATGCCCCTTAGCATTTCGTCTCTGTTAAGATGTCTACGCTCCATAATGTCGTTTAATACTAAACAGAGTTATTTGAATGAATTCTGGTCAGTTATCATAAAAACATAGCCAGTACAGGTTAAATTCGAACAATTGATGCTAGGTGCTTTTTATACATTTGACAAAAAATGCACAAACACTTCTGCAAATATCCCAAATTTAGAAATAACTAGTGTGACTACTTCGTTCCAATCGAAGTAGAAAGAATCGGCCTACAAATATGTGGTTGTTTATTCAAAACATTTATTTTTAACTTTAATAAAATGATATCCCTAGATTTTCCGGTGTGTGTAGTAGAAGAACATAAATATTTGGGACAACTATACACAGCTTTAGGGGTGGTTTTTTATCCTTTCCGTACTTTTTCCCTCTCTACATGGGTGTTTTTGAGCCAACATAAACAGGCCAAATGTAAACAAACAGTTTAGTTTTTGTTTCGATCGCATTTTTCAATATTTCCCTTTTTCTTGTTGCCATGGCAGCAAAATTATTTATTATTAATCATTAATAAGTAGTTTAACAATTTTAGTTAATTATTGCTTTAGTGTATAATAAAATAATAGGATTAAATCAAAGGGTCTGATACTAAAAGAGCTTATCACGATTATAAAAAAACTACATGTAATGATTAAACCATTATAAAGATATATTTTGTGCTGTTTTACTATATTAAATGATTATATTATATTTGTTTAAAACGTATGACCAAGTTGTAAGGTTTTTCTATACTTAATTTTTTACAGGCTTTGATTTAATAGTGTATATGTACAGGGCGTTTATTAAAATTTAACAAAATTCTTGTTGAATACGCTGAAAACGATGATGATGCTAATGCCGCAAAAACGTATATTTTTCAACACTCTCAAGAAAATCAAAATTTATAGAATATTTTCCGTTGAACTTTGCGTAGAACTATGAAATCCGCCAAAATCGTGGCTCAACTTTCGTTTAACTGAAATCTGTTATATAAAAAATGACTATAGGTATATGCGTTCTAGAAGGCGTTAGGAGTACAAATATACAAAAATTTTCCTGCAGAAATGCGCCATTTTAATTTTTTGGACTTTAGAATAGCCGAAATTTGTTACATCAAAACTAGTCTTCGGGGTGTGTTTTAGATATTTTTCTAAACATAAAAAATGCTTTGACTTTAGAATAGCCGAAATCAGTTACATGAAAAATGAACTTATTACGAGCAAAGAAATACAAAAAAAATCCTGCGGAAATGTGTCAATGTCATTTTGTGCACTTTGTTTTTCATACATTTTTCAGTTTAGCAGCTTACGGGACCCGGGAGCGAATAGGGGTGCTGGGTGGGGAAAATATCTTTCAGAGGAATAACAATTCTTGTAGAAATGATAATATAGGTTCTTGTAAACTGTAAGTACCTCAGAATGTTGCCTTATTCTTGTTTTTTATTAAAGCTTTACGTAAATAGGGCTGATTCAAAACAAAAAATCATTGGATCATGCAGTTTTCTTTTATATTTTAATAATTAACTGTGATTTTGTAAAAATATTATTAGATTTATTATTAGATTGGTTTGCATTTTAGACACTTTTAAATGATTTTTTTTGGTTCAAAAGTGATAAAAAGATATTTTTTATGTATTTTTTATTTTCCTGAGTTTGTAGACGCTTCTAAAAGGCAAAAATATATTTATTTTTTATATAACTGATTTCAGCTATTCTAAAGTCTATTAAATTTCCTCAGAAAATGGATAGATACAGTTTATTTCCGCAGGAACATTTTTATTTTCCTCAGTTGTGAATGCTTCTAAAAGGCAAAAATATATTTATTTTTTATATAACTGATTTCAGCTATTCTAAAGTCTAATAAATTTCCTTAGAAAATGAAAACAGCTTATTACCGCAGGAAAATTTTTGTGTTTATATGTTCAGAAAAATATTAAAAATAAAACCCAAAATGTATTTTTTTATAGCAGATTTCAGTTATTCTAGTGCGAAATTTGGAAATTACGCATTTCCGCAGGAAAATTTGTTGTTTTCCGTAGTTCACAGTAGCTTTTTAAAGACAAAAATTTTTTTTTTTTCTAATAACTGATTTCAGCTAAGCGAAAGTTGACCCAAAATCGTCTTATACAAGTTTAAGAAAAAATCTGAAAACTAGATAGACATTTGTAATTAAATCATAAAAAATACAGTATGATACTTACAGAGGGTTTATATTTATAATAATAAGTTTTTACTGTAAAAAACTTTTTTAGATAGAACTAGAACAATTTTTTTAATAAATCATATACTAGTACCGTGTAAAATAAAGCAGATAAATTATATATTATTGCAAATTCCAACAAAGCCATTAAAGAACAACTACCACTAATTACAACTGCTTATTAGCGCACTGAGTACTAATTATAATGGAAAGGCATATGGATAGTATAAAATAGAAAATATAAGTCATATTTTGATGTGCGGAAAACATTAGTTTCTAAAAGCTGACGATTTTAAGTACCCATCTACTTAAAAATTAAGGAAAATAAAAAGTATAATACAGGGGTTATTCTATGTGTGAATTTTTATGTTATGTCTACTAATGAAAAATTTATCACAGAACGCACAAAACCAATCCAAAGGTCGCGCGTTTTTTGACAAGACACGGGCACTACAAAATTAATGGGGAATTATGATAAAGTCACCGGTTAAAATGATTAATTTCAAATTGTTTATCAATTTTGCAGGCATTTTTCGTGATACGGTAATTTAATAATAACTGGTAATTACACATAATCACTAATTTTACCCTAGTATATAAAATAAACCCAAAATGAAAATTGCCAATTTTTTTTCAAATATTTTCAGAAATTTCACATTGGCTAATTCTAACATAACTTTAGTATATGGTATTTATTTTAATTTGAGAAATTCAATAGAAAAAAAAGCACCATTCAGTATAATAATACAAGTTGTTTTTTTTATCAGATTTTATTAATTTATAACGGTACGTTTTTCAATTCTGTCTAAACATATAAAACGTGAAATTTATTTGAATCTTTGACCAGTTTTTTTTCTGAATTAGAAATGAATTTTGCAAGCTGTATTATATTCCTGACATTCTTAGCAAGGTAAGTTATCAACAGTATTTTATGAATTACATTTGAAATTGTTAACAGTAATGTCAGCATTACAACCACATTATTTGTAGTGTTGACATTACTGATTATTTTTTTCTAATTTTTTTTTTCTAAAATCTTCTTGGACTGATCTATACTAATATATAAACATACTGATTAATCACGATCCTGCTCAAACCACTCAACGTAAGAAGCTCATTTTTGGCATACAGGTTGATTCTAGGGTGTAAAGGTTCGATAAGAAGGGATTTTTCGAAATTCCAGTTCCAAGAGGGTGAAACCACCCCTCAAATATTACAATATTTTTTTATTTAAAAAACGGTCAAGTTTCCGAAAAAACGCTTAAACACGTATATTTTATTTTGTTTTTTTACATATTTTAAGATTTTTTAAAAATGTATACAGGGTGTTTCGAAAAATCTGGTCATTGATTAATCACGATCCTGCTTAAAGCGCTTGACGTAAAAAGCTGATTTTTGGAAAACGGATTGACTTTAGGGTGTAGAGGTTCGATAAGAAGGGATTTTTCGAAACTCGAATTCTAAGGGGGTGAAGCTATCCCTCAAATATTAAAATATTTTTTATTTAAAAACCGGTGAGTTTTTCGGAAAAACTCTTAAACGCGTATATTTTATTTTGTTGTTTTACATAATTTAAGATTTTTTAAAAATTTATACAGGGTGTTTCATAAAATATGACCATTGAGTAATCACGATTCTGCTTAAACTGCTTGACGTTTAAAGCTGATTTTTGGCAAACGGATTGACTGTGGGGTGTTCGATAAGGAGGGGTTTCTCGAATCTCAAATTCCAAGAGGGTGAAAACGCCCCTCAAATATTACAATATTTGTTATTTAAAAAACGGTTAGTCTTTCGGGAAAACGCTTGGACACGCATAATTTATTTGGTTTTTTTACATATTTTGAAATTTTTTAAAAAATCATACAGTGTGTTCCAAAAAGTTGGGTACCGTAAAATGGGGTGAATAGAAACAGTTTCGTAGGCTATTAGCGATATACCGGTTGATAAAAATGTGGTATTATTTTCCCGAATATTTTAAAACATGGGTCTTTGTTTGTTCTTTGCGTATACTTATAGTTTGATTTTTGAAAAATATGCATATAAATATTAAATAAAAATAACATTTGTGTTTGTATTCACCTGCTATTCGGGAGAATAGAAACACACATTGATGTTAAGGTTTTTATCTGTTCTATTTCCAACAAGGTGATTAGAAATAGTAAATTATTACATATTTAAGTAGGTTTAACAATAATTAACAATACATATAATATAACAACTTACATGTACCAGCTTATGTATTACTTTAAAAATAAATATTTTATTTATAAAGTTTTCGCGCCATACAAAATAGGTGATAAATCGATCTCACATTTATTGATCAGCTTATTGACAGAAACAGTGCTGCCACAGATAAAAATATAGTTTTTACATTTTGTTGTGTATTACCAATGATAGAAAAATTAGATATGTCGACTCTTTTTACTTTGAATATTTTTAATCGTGATTTGATTTTTTTCAGAAATTTTGTTTCTATTCACCACTATGTTTCTATTCCCCCCATTTTACGGTAATTTAGTAACTGCCAAAATATAATAATATCGCCATATTGTTTTTTCTCATGCTGACATAAATGTGAGAAAATTTTATCCAGTTGTTTTTTAACGATTTTAAACGATTTCTAGGCGAAAATTGGACCCAGCACCGAAAAAAATCCGCCTTCTGCGGGCTCACGCTTTTTAATATTATTATTACTTCGTATAGTGCATGCCTAAAGCAAAAATTCACGCAACGCCACTGAGATTTCCCATATTAATCCGGCTATACCCTTTAAAACTGTCTAAAGTTATGTTTATTTAGTGTTTTCTCTAACGACACATTTCCCGATAACTTTGTCTTTGGAGCTGGTTCTTCAGCCTATCAGGTTGAAGGTGCTTGGGATGAAGATGGCAAAGGTCCAAGCTGGTGGGATGTTTTTGCCCATGAATACCTCAACGAAACAGGAGACGTTGCTTGCGACTCGTATCACAAATACAAAGAGGACGTAGCTATCTTGAAGGACCTTGGACTCAAATTTTACAGGTATAATATTGTGTTTTATATATACAGGGTTGTTCACCACATACGACACGGAGTATTGTAGCTAAACGATTAGATTTTTACAAATTGTAATTAATTGATACCCTGGGAGAAATGAAGCCTTAAAATTTTGATTGCAATTTCACAAAATTGAAAATATTTCAAAAACGGTAAGGTTTAAGTGTAATAAACCTTTATCAAACTTACCTTTATTTTAATCGTAGAAACTATAAATGTAATAATATACAGGGTGTTCCGTTTAAAAAAATACAACTTTGATATTTTTTATTTATTTGGGACACTCTGTATCTTGTAAAAATATTTTTAAATCGTAGCTCTAATAGTCCTTCAACGAACCCAAAGCTTACAATTTGTAAAAATCTAATCGTTTAGCTACAATACTCCGTGTCGTATGTGGTGAACAACCCTGTATATATGAGTTCTATAAAAATTTGTTAAAAATTGTTTTTGGTTTGTAGATTTTCAATTTCCTGGCCTAGGATCCTCCCAGATGGTACTCCCGTATCTATCAACGAGGCTGGCGTAAACTACTATCTAAATTTGCTCAAAGTAATTAAAATACAACTATTATTTTTCGTTAAGTGTTTCATCAACATTTTTTTCTAAACTTCAAAAATACTGATCAGTTTAGAATGAAAATGAGAGTATAAATTACATTTTCAAAATTATTTTTCATAAATCAACTAATTTTCTATACCAAAGTTTAACTGCTTTATGTATTCAAAATACTCCGGGTAAAAGTACCGGGTGGCCAACTAAGAATGGACGCCGGCTGTATCTCAGAAACTACTTATCGTATAACTTTGCGAAAAAAATTCTAATAAGTAAATCAGCCAAGAGAAATGGCTGGAAATTATTTTCAAGTTCGAAAAATGACCGCTAGGGGGTGCTTCTCCGATAGCCAATCAGAAAACAGGGTTTTTCTCAAAAATATGCAGGTGAACAGGTATTTTAAATATTACTATTGTAAACATCGAGAAATTTGTAATTTTTTTGATACAGAGTATTTTGCTCTGTCTCATAAAATAAAGTGGTGGGGGAAGGTTAAACTTGCTTTTATTAAAATAAGGATAACTCTGGTTTAGGTTATCCGATTTAAACAAACTAGGGCTCGTTAAAAAGAGCTTTTTTTCCTTAATGATTTCCAGTATAAATTGTGTTTCCACAATTTTTTTCGTGGTAGCTAGAGTGCGCTATTTGACATCATAACAGATATTGCGCTTTTGCATAAAAAATTCAAATGGGAGGCTATATTTCCCTTTACACAGTTAAATAGAGCACAAAATTTCCAAAATATCAGCGTAAACCGCAACTTTCTACCTACTCTCTAACCGGAGATATTAAGAGAAGAAATTATGTTAGGCTGTCGCTTGTGAGATACAGCCGGCGTCCATTCTTAGTTGGCCACCCGGTACGTATTTTTTGAATCAAAATAATAACATAATTTACCTGCATACAAAAGTGCATTGTTTGTCCGTTAGAAGGTATCAATAAAAAAAAAGTTAATACATTTTTTAAGCTTCTTATAAAGTAATAATAAAGATAATTTGTGGTACTACAACTTATTTTGATTAACAAAAATACGTAGTAGTTTTATGTCCACGGAATATTGGGACACTGTATATATAGTTATGACAAAAACATTAAAAGTAGCGCGTCGATTGCATTTTACAATTTTGCCCAGGCACTCAAGGAAGCTGGCATTGAACCACTGGTCACATTGTACCATTGGGATCTCCCAGAACATTTGGGCCTTTTTGGTGGATGGTTGAACCCGAGGATAGCAGAGTATTTTGGAGATTTTGCCAGAATATGTTTCGAAAAATTTGGAAAATACGTGAAATACTGGATAACACTAAATGAACCGTTTACTACCTGTGCAAATGGCTACGAATATGTAAGATTTTTGTCGAAATATAAATCAATAGATTTAATACTAATATGAGTATTTTCAGGGTATTCATGCACCAGGTTTGACACTAACTGGCGAAGGAATTTACCAATGTTTTTATGTGCATCTCCTGGCTCACGCCAAGGCTTACCACATATACAACGATGAATTCAGAGGTGTCCAAAAAGGAAAAATATCATTGGATCATGCCTGTGCTTGGTTTTATCCCAATTCCAACAGTACCGAAGACGAGGAGGCCAAACAAAGACTTTTGGACATCGATGTAGGTTTATAAGTACAGGATGTCTCATTTTCAGGTGTTTTACAGGGTGTCTCGCTTATAAGTAGATGTACAAAGATGCGGTTTTTACATTATTTTGCTACTTTTTTTTATGAAAGTAAAGATCCTTCACACATATTTCTTCTAGCCCTTTTAGTTCTTGAAATACAAGGCGAGTTGGAAATTGTAGCATTTTCCGACACCCTTCGTATACTTATCAACAATATACTTCATACAGGGTTGTTCACCACATACGACACGGAGTATTGTAGCTAAACGGTTAGATTTTTACAAATTGTAAGTTTTGTTGAAGGACTATTAGAGCCACAATTTAAAAATATTTTTACAAGATACAGAGTGTCTCAAATAAATAAAAAATATCAAAGTTGTATTTTTTTAAATGGAACACCCTGTATATTATAGCATTTTTAGTTTCTACGATTAAAATAAAGGTAAATTTGATTAAGGTTTATTACACTTAAACCTTGCCGTTTTTGAAATATTTTAAAGTTTCATTTCTCCAAGGGTATTAAAGTTTTTAAAACTAGATATTTACTGAAGTCTATTATTGATCAGTTATTGTGTTGCAATAATAAAAATAATACTACCTCATACAGAGTGTCCAAAAATTTGTTTTGAATTATTTCTAGCTTTAAGCGGCAATAACTTGTTTAATTTAAATGGAACGCCCTGTATATTTTAGGAGAATCAGATGCACAATTTAATTGTCTATTAAATTGTATTATGCCATTTTTTACCTATCCCTGCAAGTTTTTAGTAGAAAATGCATTTTCTTATAATTTAGACCTCATTTATCAATATACCCATGGAATATTGACAGTTTAGATTGTTTTTAAAGCAGCAAAGATACAAAATGTACAGCTTAGTAATATTATCATTTGTATGCAAAAAGAAAACTATTTAAATCTTTATAAAAGAGTATACCAATAATTAAATATACCACCATTATTTCCACCCAAATACTAATTAATTACATACTTAATTATGTTCGTTAATAAATTATTCTAAATAAATGTCGATTTGAATCAGAAATCAATATAATAATAAGTTATGAAAATGAATGTCTCTGTTGTTATAAATAAGCATTTGTCAAAAAATGAAATATCGTTTTAAAGGTGTTTTTTTACCACACTGACTAATACACATACAAAATTCAGTTTTTTTAGTATCTGGAACAATTATTATTAATCAACGCAAACAGTCAGTTAATGTAGTTTGAAACTGGAATCATATTAATTGGTCCTCTTTAACAAATATTTAAACATTTTTTTTTATTTTTTAATGAAATAAATAAACTATATCGACAATATTAGTATCTGTACTCTTTAAAAATTTGGTATATCTTTAAGAATAATTCAAAATGTCAGTATTCCATGGGTATATAAATGAGTTTTAAATTACAAGAAAATGCATTTTCTACGGAAACTTGAAGAGATAGGTAAAAAATGGTGTAATACAATTTGATAGACAATTAAATTGTGCATCTGATTCTCATAAAATATACAGGATGTTCCATTTAAATTAAACAAGTTGTTGCAGTTTAAAGCTAGTAATTATTTAAAATAAAATTTTAGACACTCTGTATAAGGTAGTATAATTTTTATTATTGCAAAACAATAACTGATCAATAAATAAACTTCAGTAAATATTTAATATTAAAAACTTTGATACCCTTGGAGAACTTAAGCCTTAACATTTTGACTGCAATTTCACAAAATTGAAAATATTTCAAAAACGGCAAGGTTTAAGCGTAATAAACCTTTATCAAATTGACCTTTATTTTAATCGTAGAAACTAAAAATGTAATAATATACAGGGTGTTCCATTTAAAAAAATACAACTCTGATATTTTTTATTTATTTGGGACAGTCTGTATCTTGTAAAAATATTTTTAAATTGTAGCTCTAATAGTCCTTCAACGAACCCAAAACTTACAATTTGTAAAACTCTAATCGTTTAGCTACAATATTCCGTGTCGTATCTGGTAAACAACCCTGTAGACATTTTCATCTAGAATTCAGTGTCATACTATATATACTTTTGTTTTGTTTAATTTTAGTGTAACTCTTTTCTTCATCCCCTGTATAAGGGCGATTGGCCAGCAGGTTTAAAAAAACGCATAGCCTACCGAAGCCATCTAGAGGGCTACAATTTTTCAAGATTACCCTCTTTTACGAGACAAGAAATAAATTACATCAAAGGAACCTACGATTATTTGGCCCTAAATGTGTAAACTTTAATATTTTTCTACTGTAAAATCTGTTCAATCATTGTATAACGGTACGTCATAATATATTATCGAACTCACTCTCTTTCACTTGTCGGAACTAATGATGACGTAGCGTTGAACGATCACTAAACAGACTGTAGTTTTATTTAGACGCTTTTCTACTTTCATGTGTGTTGTAGGTACACTAATAGGGTGGTTGCCAACAGGGCAGAACCGGATCCAGGCACCCCGTCTCTTAGTTCAGACTCAAGTAAGCATGCTGAACATTTTAAACTAGTTTTTTTTTGGTTATTTAGCTACTAGAGATGGGCAGATTTAAAAGAGTCAGGTCTGAAGTTACATTAAGTTCCATGGACCTACATCCAGGATGCAGTTATGCCGGATGTATATCATTCTAACTTATAATTTTAATCTAAATTCTATTTTGCATGAAGCAATCCGCAATCAAAAGTTTTGTAGTCCGTTGGGGAAATCTGATCTTAGCCGTACTATACAGGGTTGTTCACCACATACGACACGGAGTATTGTAGCTAAACAATTAGATTTTTACAAATTGTAAGTTTTGGGTTCGTTGAAGGACTATTAGAGCTACAATTTAAAAATATATTTACAAGATACAGAGTGTCCCAAATAAATAAAAAATATCAAAGTTGTATTTTTTTAAATGGAACGAGACAAATCATTGCGTAAAAAATAAAAAAAATGTTGATAGTTAACACACAATTATAGCCTTCCATCAAAACTGCCGCATAGGGATTGCGACAGTTCCATGTTTTGTTCCAGCAACAGATAATATTTTTAAGAAATAAAATGGAATATTTTTTACAAAAAAAAAAACTACTGAAGCCAAAGACTGTACATTTCAAATCTCCCAGATGTCGTTGCGTGTAGGTCCCTTTTTAACTGTTTTCTCTTTTTTATTAAAGGAGTAGTCCTTTCTACAAGATCTTCTTGGGCCTTGAGTTCCGCATCATGGTTGACATCTGATCCACCAGGTGTCAGACATCTCCTGAAATACATAAAAGACACCTACAACCCCTCTGATATAATTATTGCTGAAAATGGTTGGGCTGAAGAGGGTTTAGATGACCAAGGCAGAATATCCTATATTAAAGTAAGTACATTTTTAAACGGTTTTATTTAGCTCGACCCGTATGGTATTTATTTATTTGGGTCAAAATTAGAAATTGAAATTTAAGTACCTACGTGTTGTCAGATTGATCTGAAATTTGGTACACACCTTTAGTTCCGATGACAATACAATATACTAATATCAATAACATTGTAAATCTAAGATGGCCGCCGGTACAAAATGGCGGATTTCATATTTTTTCACAACCCCCTCAATATGGGTATCAAATGAAAGGGCTACACTAGTAGACTACTGTGATTATGACAAAATTTAAAATCCAAGATGGACGTCGTTACAAAATGGCGTATTAGGTGAGGGCATGAGTAGTCGTATCCAGAACAGTTGTGTAAAAAATTAACGTTAAATAGCGTTTTTTTTTATTCTCTATAATAATATCAATGTTAAAATAAATATAAATAATAAAATATTAACAAATAGGTATTTTAAATATAATTAATTATTATAATTTATATTTTATTGTTATAATTAATTGTTATATATATTAATTTATATAATAATGAATTAAATAGAATGAGGAATATTCGGTAGGCATTTCCGTTAAATACTAAAAACTAGAAAATAAAAAATCGGTAAAAAAACTTTTAAGTTAAACGGTTTTATCTTATGTGTACATAAGATAAAACCGTTTACTTTATCTGAAAACTAGAAAATAATAATAACAATTAGGTATTTTGAACTTCTAGTTCAGAAATATTTTAGTACTAGGCAGAATAGCTTTTAGGCATATTAGACTAAAATAAAAACGTGGGGCCCATTAACTATTGCTGTAATACTTTCTTCTATACTAAGTGTGGATTGCATCGACTTACTATAATCGTAACTGGAGATTTTCACAATCAATAACCAGCCGTGGCGGCTTCACCAGCGAACCCCGAGCTCATGATCTACCAAAGTATAAAGATATGCTTTGCCATAGGTAGGATTTCAGAGGGGCCCCACGTTTTTATTTTAGTCTAATATGCCTAATTGTTATTATTATTTTTCTTTATGACAATAAATCAATACATACTTTGCTTTTTACTTTTTCTTTATGTTTAAGTTAAATATATCAAAATTTTAGGGTTATTTGACAAATATTCTGGATTCTATTGTCAAAGATGGTGTAGATGTCACTGGATACGTCATATGGAGCTTATTGGATAACTTTGAGTGGACTGACGGCTACGAGTAATATATTTTTATTTTTTTCGACTATCAGGGTGTATTTTAATTTTATATGTATTCTAGGATCAAATTTGGACTTGTAGATGTGGATTTTAACGACCCAAACAGAACAAGAACATATAAGGATTCAGCTTACTGGTACAAGAGACTGGCTGCTGCCCGAAAAATCGTGGATTAAAGCTTTTATGTATTTTATTATATATCTTGAAAAATCAATAAAGAAAATGTTGCAATAAGCACGATTAATGAGGATATATTTATTTTTATATGATGAATAAATAAAGAGATGAAAAAAAAATGAGATGATGATTACAGTTGAGGGTTGGAACCTTTGGTGTTACACAGCAAAATAAAAACACTAAATCACCACAATACACAAAAACACTTTTGGACTTACATTGGACGCCCGTTTCGCTAACCATATTAGCATCATCAGCAGATGATTATAAACTAAAGTACAATCTACAAGTTGAGCGTTTATGTACTCCCTCAGTGGGCACCGAGTAGGCGTGGCAAAATCTAGCCAACCGAGTCAGATCCCACTGAGCGTAACAGTTAGATTTCCGCCACTAGAGTAGTAGGAACAAAGAACTTGAAGGAATTGGACCGTTGACTCTGTTCATACTATCTTTACATTTATTAATTCTGATGCTTTCATATGCATTTAATTGCCTGTAATTTGAGACTTGTTTAATTCATTTTAAATTATTAAGATCTATACAATGTTCGTTATCAACAATATGTTCGGCAACGCAAGATTTATCCGGTCTACCATATCTTATCTGAGCTAAATGTTCTTTAAATCTAGTTAATATTGATCTCCTAGTTTGCCCAACATATTTCTGATTACAATCTTTACAAGAAATTTCATAAATACCCGACCTTTCCAGTGGAGGTGTTTTATCTTTTGGATTACCTAATAATTGTTGTAATTTATTATTAGCACTATACACAAGTTTATAATTGACATTCTTAAAAATTCCTTTTAGACCACGGGATAACTCTCTATCAAACGGTATCGAAAAATATTTAGACGTATCTTTCTCCACTTGAAAAGTCGAATTTTCAGAAATCATTAACCTATACCTACGTTTTCTTATTAATTTATCAACCAGTGAAGGAGAATATCCATTACTCTCAGCTACATTCCTAATGTAATCTCTTTCTATTTCATAACTTTCGTTGGAAAGTGGAAAACTAAGTAATCTATGAACTAAGAAATTTAAACTAGCCATTTTATGTTTAACACTATGATGTGATTCATTAGGAATATATCTGCGTGTGGTCGTATTTTTCCTATAGATATCAAATTCCAGGCAATTATTAGTATTTCTAATAACTAATACATCTAGAAATGGTAATCTGTCGTTGTTCTGATGATGAATTAAATGTGAATAATCTAAAAATCATTTACTACTCTCATACCATCTTTAAGTGCTTGTATCTTAAAGGACATTATATTTTTCTTCTTTTATCAATTTGAATATTTCAAGTATTATTATAAACATGATTGTGAAACAAATACTTGAGAAAATTATTGGAAAAAAGCGAATTTAATCAAAAAAACATTTGCAAATGGATTTTGTTTTAGTAAAAACTTGAAAGTTTAAACACGCTTTGAAAATATGCCATCAGATGATTACGTTTGTGCTCTTTTGAGTGATATTATCTTCAAGGTAAGTGTATTAATAACAACAATGGTATTTTATTTATCAATTGTGACTATAAACGAAACAACTTTATATAATATAAAAAAATAAATAAATGCCTTTAATGTCAAAAATTTTTACAATTTGTAGACAAAGGTAAAGTAAACAAACAAAAGAGAATACAAAACAAGTATACAAATTGCATTGCCAGTTTTATTGTTTAAAATAAACATTTATAAATGTTTACGATGTCAAAGAATAAAAAAATAAAAATTAGATTCAAAAATATTTAGTAAGTTTATAGTAAACTAGCGTGTAACATACAAACTGGATAAAGTTTTCTCACATTTATGTCAGCATGAGAAAAAACAATATGGCGATATTATTATATAACTTGGTAATATTTGAGGGGTAGGTTGACTTTCGAAAAATCCGTTTGCCAAAAATAAGCTTTTTACGTCAAGCAGTTTAAGCAGAATCGTGGTTAATGAATTACCCAACTTTTTGGAACACCTTGTTTGATTTTTTAAAAAATTTCAAAATATGTAAAAAAAAACAAATAAATTATGCTTGTCCAAGCGTTTTCCCGAAAGACTAACCGTTTTTTAAATAACAAATATTGTAATATTTGAGGGGCGTTTTCGCCTTCCTGGAATTTGTGATTCGAGAAACCCCTCCTTATCGAACCTCTACACCCCACAGTCAATCCATTTGCCAAAAATCAGCTTTAAACGTCAAGCACTTTAAGCAGAATCGTGATTACTCAATGGTCATATTTTTATGAAACACCCTGTATAAATTTATAAAAATCTTAAAATATGTAAAATAACAAAATAAAATATACGTGTTTAAGAGTTTTTCCAAATAGAAGGCGGATGGGATGAAGATGGCAAAGGACACAGCATGTGGGACACTTTTGCCCATACACCTGGTAAGATCAAAAATAACGATACTGGAGATGTTGCCTGTGATTCCTATCACAAATACAAGGAGGATGTTGCCATTCTCAAGGAACTGGGTTTCAAAGTATACAGGTACGTACAGCACAGTAATAATATACCGTGCTGGCAACTGTTACTTTTGGGTCGGTATTTACATGTGTGGAAGTAAATCGCATAGGGATCTTTGTAGCGTTTTTTAAACAACTACCACTGCGAACGGCAGCTTTTCATCGGAGAACAGTCGTGGATAAGGTATTTCACTGGAAAGAAAACTAATTAAGAACAATAAACAAAAAAATAGATATTGGGCGCCAGGCATGTACAGAGAAAGAAAACACAGTTGTATATTACTTAAAACTAATGACTATATTTATTCATGATGTTCTTAGATGGTACATGACATTGTAGAGTTCTAATAAATATATAGTGGTTATATGTCAAAGAAAGTGGTGGTAAGAGTTTTTCCGAAAAACTCACCGGATTTTAAATAAAAATATTTTAATATTTGAGGGATAGTTTCACCCCCTTAGAATTCGAGTTTCGAAAAATCCCTTCTTATCGAACCTCTACACCCTAAAGTCAATCTGTTTTCCAAAAATCAGCTTTTAACGTCAAGCGCTTTAAGCAGGATCGTGATTAATCAATGACCAGATTTTTCGAAACACCCTGTATACATTTTTAAAAATTCTTAAAATATGTAAAAAAACTAAATAAAATATACGTGTTTAACACGTTAAGCGCCAGTCAAAATTTAAAAAAAATGCTCTCTGGGCCAAGTTATAATTTTGTCATATACTTTCAACATTTGAAATTCAAAAAAAAATTTTTTTTTTTCAAATCAAAAAGTTCGCATAGGTATATATGCTGCACAAACCAGAGAGGTTCGCCCATCATACTCAAACAGGCTTAAACAAGGACCGCTGGCTTATGGAACAAACTAATTTGAACCGAATACCGAGCGGTCCCTGGGGACCTCCGTGGCGTAGAGGGTACTTCCTTTGGAGGTCCCTGGGGCCCACCATGGCGTTTAACGTGTTAAGCATTTTTTCGGAAACTTGCCCGTTTTTTAAATAAAAAATATTGTAATATTTGAGGGGTGGTTTAACCCTCTTGGAACTGGAATTTCGAAAAATCCCTTCTTATCGAACCTCTACACCCTAGAATCAACCTGTATGCCAAAATTGAGCTTCTTACGTTGAGTAGTTTGAGCAGGATCGTGATTAATCAGTATGTCAGTCACTTAAGGACTTTATACGGATTAATTTACGGCGTAGAAAGCCTTGTCTATAGGAAATAAGATTTCAATGCTTTGGGAAGTGAAGAAAATGATGTTATGGATTTGATTTCAAATGGCAGGTGATTGTGCATTTTTTTCGAGTTGTATAATATTGAACTTTTTTTAACTAACTCTGAGCGTGGGGTAGGTAGATAAAGATCTTGCTCCGCGTTCCTGAGTGGATAAGTGTGAGATGGCCTTTCTTGAGAAGCTGATACATGCTTACGTATTAGGCAAAAGGAAATTGACCTCTCTCTCTCTCTCTCTCTTGACTATTCTATATGTAAAAGGAACGTCGGAAAAGATCAGCCTATTAACAAAAACAAGACCGGAGTCATTGAAACAAGAGAAATAGTGCATTTGCCAGGTATATTAGAGAGACTAATTGTACGACTTAACAAGCACAAAAATAATTTAAAAAAAGTGAAACAATGAAGTCAGGTATTGCAAAGCATGTTGGTCAAAACTGCACAACATAAAATGAAAAAAAAAAAGAATGGAAGTTCGAAATTTTTCTATTTTCAATACTGAATCAGTATCTACCACATTCAAGGTATACAACCATATAGTCACTATACCACTTCATGATATAAAATAATCTTTTCAAGTACCCTGCCAATCGTGATGCGGATTTTCAAAGTTTAACATTTTTTAAGTTGGGAACTCCACTCGAACGATTTTTGTTATGTTGATTTTTTCAATTATTTACAAATATTGAGTACTTCAATTCTTTTTTATCAGCCTCTTAATGATAACTGCTAATATATATAACCTTAGATACAATGATTTTCTTCTATTTTAGTAATTAGTAGTACGTACATCCTTGAAGATGTTTGTTAAAACCGTAACGGTTCTTTTGGCAACCATAGTTGGGTATGGATCATTTTTTTAATTATTTTTCCTATCGTATTTTTGTGATAGATATTATCATCATTATCTTCATTTATTAGCATGTCTTGTCTGTCTACTAGTTCGTTGTATATTACTTTAGTTCTTGCCAAATTCATTTTGAGATCTACTTTATTGCTGGCTGTATTTAGTTCGTTAATAGATAGTGTACAGGGTGATCGAAATTGGTCTGTTTTAACAGAGTAAACATATTTCCTGACTAGATAGAGCAAAATCAACATAGATGTCATGGGCTCGATTTCTGAGACACGTTTAATGGCGTAAATCGCCTGTAGATATTTTCACTGCCAACTGAGATACGGGATTTTTTTGAATTTTTTACTATTTGGAAAATTGCCCATAACTTTTGTATTTCGCGGAATAATAAAATTCTGTAAAAACGTTCTTAAGGCAATTTTTTAAGCACAATCTAGTGGCGTAATCAGTTTTTTTCTATACATGCTCTTGATAAAAAATATAATTTTTTAAATGGAAATCATAGTTGGCTATGAACTTAAAAAAAAATGCTGGCGTTATTTATTTCTAAAAATGAGAGAAACGTTAGGTTTTATATCGTTGGAAAGGGCCAGCATTTTTTTAAGTTCATAGCCAACTATGATTTCCATTTAAAAAATTATATTTTTTATCATTTCTGACAAAAAGAGCAAGTATAGAAAAAAAACTGACGACGCCACTGAATTGTGCATAAAAAAGTGCCTTAGAACGTTTTTACAGAATTTTATTATACCGCGAAATAAAAAAGTTATGGGCAATTTTCAAAATGGTAAAAAATTCAAAAAGTTGGCAGTTCTTAGTTGGCAGTGAAAATATCAACAGGAGGCTTACGCCATTAAACATGTCTCAGAAATCGAGCCCATGGCATCTATGTTGGTTTTGCTCTATCTAGTCAGGAAATAGGTTTTCTCTGTTAAAACAGACCAATTTCGACCACCCTGTACACATTTACAAAATACAGAATTTGGTAAATTTGACTTAAAAAATGCAGAAAAGTGTTTTTTTCTCAAAATTTTGATATTTTTCTTTTGGATTTGAAGATGCTTAGCCGTCAAAGAGTTTCCCGAGGATTTCCTTTTTGGTGCTGCCGGAGCCTCCTACCAAATAGAAGGCGGATGGGATGAAGATGGCAAAGGACCCAGCATGTGGGACACTTTTGCCCATACACCTGGTAAGATCAAAAATAACGATACTGGAGATGTTGCCTGTGATTCCTATCACAAATACAAGGAGGATGTTGCCATTCTCAAGGAACTGGGTTTCAAAGTATACAGGTACGTACAGCACAATAATAATATACCGTGCTGGCAACTGTTACTTTTGGGTCGGCATTTACATGTGTGGAAGTAAATCGCATAGGGATCTTATTAAGTCGGAGTGAGAGAAATGCGACGGTGTGCTGTTGCGGCGTTGCCGATACGCCTTTCCCTATCAAGTAAAGTAAAATCACGATCGCAAACCGCTTATTTTTAAACGACTTTTTTTCAAGAGATAACTAGATAAAATCATTAGACATGTTTCTGAGCATCTGAAATGGAATTATAAGGATATCGTTAGGGTGTCATTTTTTTATAACGAGAAAACGTCAGTAATCGCGATAAAACTCAACTTTTCACTCAACTTTCAAACTCAACTCAAGAAAAACTTTAGATATTGAAACTTTTTTTATTTTCAAGATCGGATATTTTACAATATGTTTACATAAGAAAAATTCGAAGAGGTTGTTTTTTCCATTCAAAAATTGTAAACAATCCATCCATTTACTTTTAGAGCATAGCAATTTTCAGCAATCGTGTAATTTTTTCATTGATAAAGACTTTCACATACTGTCTACAAAGAAATTACAGCAGAAATATTAACAAAGTTCTTGAAAAAACTACAATCTATTATTTCAAATAGATTTCGAGATGTCGATTTTTGAATTCAGAGTTTTAATAGCGTGACCACTATCGAACACCCACTCAATTCCACTTATTTTTACCAAAAATGCAAGTGTTTCTAGCTTGCACTGTAGCGTTTTTTTAAAACATTACCACTGCGAACGGCAGCTTTTCGTTGGTAGAGCAGTCGTGGATAAGGTATTTCACTGGAAAGAAACTAATTAACAATAATAACTCGAAATTATAAATATTGGGCGCCAGGCATGTACAGAGAAAGAAAACACAGTTGTATATTACTTAAAACTAGTGACTATATCTATTCATGATGTTCTTAGATGGTACATGACATTGTAGAGTTCTAATAAATATATAGTGGTTATATGTCAAAGAAAGTGGTGGTAAGAGTCGTACTAAATATCAATGAAAACAACTACGATGAAATACAAGACATGTAAAGTTTAAGAGAATATATGAAATATAGCATTACTTTAATTAATTTGATATATTCCATATGATGCTAAATCGAAGATGTTGCAACCTGTAGATTCTAGAATCTATGTTTGGTTATTCCTCTGTTAAAATAGTGCGATAATAATATCTATAAAAGTAATACCATTACAATATGTAATGCAATGAAACCTAAGATCTAAATTATATTTAATATTAATATTTATATTAAATATTAAATCGACATGAATGTTCTTAACAACTAACCACTAAACATAGTCTGTACGATATTATTTAAGATGTACGTTATTGTTTAAGACTGTAAATGTTTTAAATGTTAAATGTAAAACTAGAACTTAAATCTACACTTAGCTGTTCTTTATGTAATCTTGCTTTAAACAGTAACAGCGTGAGGTGGTCTCGCATCTCTGTACTCAGCCATCCAACACAACCAAAGGGGCCAGAATGAGGACACCATGAATTGATACAGCCGTAACTAACTAGCTTATAGCTGGGAACGAAGCAGCATGGGACTCAAGCTACATCCACGCTGTGGCACTTATATGTAAGAAAAAATCATTCTTACTGGGGACACTCGTCCACAGGACATCCGTACATAAGATAATGTCCGTACATAAGACACTACCTCTGTACCTTGGACCCTAAAAATATGAAACTCTTGTTTAAAACCAAACAAGGTCTAATGAACAAAATAAACCTACCTCGAAATACTTCCGAGGGCTCAATAAATAATAAACAACCTGTCCTTTCTTCCATGTGACATTCTGGAGGACAAAAGAAAAGGGACGCCAACGTGCCAGCAAAATACAAATACTCCGTAACTCCTACCCTAAAAATATTCAATAATAATATCGAATCTATAAAAGGTAATAACTCATCTTTACCTGAAGCCTCGAAATAGCAGCTGATTCAGATTATACAGCAAGATTTAAATAATCACCATTTCTAAAAAATTGGGACTAATGGCGTCTGACAGGCCAAAACGGTCAAACCAAAAGTGCCGTTAAATCACAGAGAGTTGACAGAAGCGATGTTGAAAACGCGCGTCGTTAATAAATAAACAAATTAAGTATCACGAGACGTAATTAAATCGTGAAGCTGAACGTATGACGTGCACCTTTTCCTAGAACTTTAAGTAATGATAGAGGTCTTGATTGGGTCGACCGGTCAACTGCGACAAATCTGCTATATCCCCTTCCACGTTTCTTAGCGATGTGCACAGTTTCTCGGTTTATTTGATACGTTTGGCAACGTGTTTACTGTCCTCTCTTTGTTCAGTACATTATAAACGCATTGTACTCTTCTTACATACGGAAATCTCGACCCAAGACTAACCTTTGCCAGCCCTTAGTACCTATATTCTATTGACTGTTAAAGTCATGTAACAATGAGAATTAATCATCATGTTTAATCCCAACTGAATTTTTTAATGTAGTATTATTCCAGGTTCTCGATTTCTTGGCCTAGAATTCTTCCTGATGGCACTCCAACCAAAATTAACCAAGCTGGAATAGATTATTACTTAAATTTGATCAAAGTAAGTACCTATTAAAAAAAACATCAAAAATCTAATAAAAATTTTAATAACTTTAAAAACAGGATTTTGTTGGTCTAAACTAGCAAAATACTATTTGCTGGCTTTATTGATAAAAATTATAGTATTTCTAAATTATTTTTTTGTTTAAAGGAACTGAAAGCAGCGGGTATCGAACCCTTGATCACATTGTACCACTGGGACTTGCCCCAATATCTTCTGGAGTTAGGCGGTTGGCTCAATCCAAGACTGGCAGACTATTTTGGCGATTTTGCCAGGATTTGCTACGAGAATTTCGGAGAGTACGTCAAGTATTGGATCACTTTGAACGAGCCGGGAACCACTTGTACCCAGGGCTATGAATATGTAAGTACCAACAAAGAAATATAGCATATAGTGATTAAAATATGTTCAAAAATCATCTAGGTATATAGATGGGTATGCTATATAATTTTTATAATGTTATAAGATGACAAAATATATATGAATGAACTATTTCAATTAAATTATTTATATTAATTAATAAAGCTAAAATTAACTTTAAGTGGTTTTAAATTAGTGGAAATTACTAAAAGATAAATCTATGAACCACTCAAAAGCTTTGTGGGAATAGTTTTTTGATTGCTGATCATATTTACTATGCACTTGAATATAACAACTCGGTTATACAGGGTGAGTTTCCTACGATGTTCTCTATGGGCATCTCGGAAACTACTGGAGATAGAGAGTCAATATGCGCCTTTCAGATTTTTGCTTCGTTTAGTTCGAAACAGTGAACGGTTTTTACTTCTTATTGTACCATTTATTCTGTTTGTGGAGCATATAACACCTTGTATATAGTATTTTTTTTTAATTTCGAGGGTACTCATGCCCCAGGTTTGAAACTGCCAGGTGAAGGAGTTCACCAGTGCACTTACGTGAGTCTTCTGGCTCATGCCAAGGCTTACAGAATCTACGAGAAGGAGTTCAAAGAAAAACAAGGTGGTAAAGTCACTTTGAACGTCGCTTGCTCATGGTACTATACCGCTACAGATAGCGACCTAGACAAGGAAGCACAGCAAAGAATTTTGGACTTCTATGTGAGTATTTTTCTTTTTATTAACCTTCCCTTAAACTTGCGTTGAGCGTTTGAAACTGCCGAACACAGCTTAAGAGCTTTTTGGTATTTTCAGTGTGGTGTCTATGCTCAGCCTATTTTCAAAGGCAATTGGCCTCAGATCATGATTGACAGGATTGCCAACCGTAGCAAACTTGAGGGATATTCCTTCTCTAGATTGCCAGAATTCACTCAGGAAGAAATTGATTATATCAACGGCACTGCCGACTTCTTGTCTCTGAACATGTAAGTCAATTTTTGATTTTTTTTATAAGGGTAGTTTTTAAGTTTTATTAATTTTTGAGTATATCCGTATATGTGTTTAATTATACAGGGTTTGTCTAAAATAAGTGCAAGTACAATTTTTTAAAAAATATAACATTTTCTACAGTTATTTTATTTGCAAAAAAAACTTCATGGGTGTGTTTCTGGGATCGAAATATATTAGTACTATACTTGCACTTCTTCCAAACACATCCTGTACTTATCGCTGAATTTCATAAAAAGATGACCGATTTTTTAAAAAATTTAAAAAAATGGCAATTTTCAAGAAAATACTAATAAATTATATTGTATAATTTCTTCTAGGTATACAAGTAGCATTGTAAATTATCTGGATGATCAACCTATAGGCACGCCTTCTATTTGGAACGATTTAGGTAAATAATATATTTTTTTACAGAGTATTATAATCTATATTTATATCAATCAACATAATATTTACCTGAAAATAACTTACTATGATAATATAACAACAAAAAAAAAAAAATATATCTCAATTTTTAAACCGAAAACAGGTGTAGCAGGCACTGTCAACTCTTCATGGCCTACTAGCGCCTCCAGTTGGCTGTTTTCTGATCCACCCGGTATCAGATACCTTCTGAATTACCTCAGCAAGACGTACAATCCACCAGCAATCTTCATAACTGAAAATGGTTGGTCGGATTTGGGAGATCTGGATGACCAAGGCAGATTGGCTTATTGGAAAGTAAGTAGGGATAGAAATATTGGCTTATATTGTTGCTCAGAACAAAATTATGTACAAGAATAAACTTGCTACAAGACTTTTTTGTAAAATTCGGTGTGTTTATGGATGCTTTTTTTGTTTTCTAGGGATATTTGACCAATATTTTGGACGCCATTGTTGAAGATGGTATCAATGTGATTGGCTACACTGCCTGGAGCCTTCTAGACAATTTCGAATGGGCTGAAGGTTACTCGTAAGTGCTTCACGACTCTTAATAGATATAACATGACATAATTTCTTTTTTTTTTCTTTTTAGGCAAAGATTTGGAATGGTTCAAGTGGATTTCGATGATGCCAATAGAACGAGGACCTTGAAAAGTTCTGCTAAATGGTACAAAGAAGTGGTAGCCTCTAGGCAAATCGTTGACTGATTTTACTGTGATTTTCTATTTGTTAAGAAAAAATAAAGAAAACTCAAAAAAAGCGTGTATTGTTTTACTATTAGATAATTTTAATTATTTTATCATAAAATATGACAATTAATGTTGCACAAGACAAGAATTCTTGTCTTGAAAGTCTCTCAATTTCTTGTCTTGTCTTGAAATTCAAGACAAGAAATTTTCAAAGTCTTGTCTTGCAAATTTCTTAAATGGCACAGTCTTGTCTTGTCTTGCAAGACTCTTGAAATTTTTTGAATGTCTTGAAAAATTTTACATTCTAACAAAAAGGTAATAATATTTCTATATTTTATTTCATAGAAAGCATATTTTGGTTACCCGTTTGTTAATTGTATTTTTTATGGTATTTATTTTATTTTTTTATTATGGAAGATTGGTTGGAAAAGTTTGGACACAGGGTGTACGAAAAGGTCATGCTAGAGTGTACTATTTGTGCTATTTGATACTACTTTTTGTTCGCGGAGCAATTTCGTGCATGAAAAGTAGTACCAAATAGCGCAAATAGCGTGCTCCACGAAACCACCATTAGTTTCAACTACCGTTAGTTTTTTTTATAATACCATTATACCAATATAATTTTGTGTATAATACAAATTACCAATATACGGTTTGTTGCCTCGATTTTATTTTATTTCATTCTCAACTCTAAAACACTGGTCATGATAGAAAAAAAAATGAACACTGGTCAATATTAATGCCGGGTTTATACAACATTTGCATAAGTCGTTATCATAATCACAGTCTTAATCATCGTCATAATCACAACGCAATTTTAATGTGCGTTTATAGAACATTTTCATAATCATAATTTCTATATCAGTGAAGTTGGGTAACATAATTAAAGGCCAAATTCATGGTAGATGTCAACAGGTTTATAAGAATTGTATAGTTGAACTTTTATGATTATGACTATGATTGTGATTACGACTATGTAAATGTTTTATAAACTCGACATAACTTACGCAAAGACCTAATTATCACTTAAAAAAATGTATTCTAACTTTCAAGAAATATTGAATTCAAGAAATCTTGCAAGACTCTTGAAATTTCTTGCATATTAAAGTCTTGTCTTGTCTTGAAATTCATAACAAGATTTTTTTCAAGGTTTTATTATAATTTATATTAACAACAGTACTATTTTAGTCGAAAAGTTGTCTTGTACTAGTTATATTTTGGTACCATCTTGCTGAATCCTTTATCGTTCTAGTCCTGTTGGCACTGTTGAAGTCCACTTGGACCAGTCCAAATTTGTATCTAAAAAAATAAACCATCATTTATTGACACTTCGTATTTTCATATGACAATTTTTTAGCACACACTATATACATCTATTATCAAAAATAAACAAAAACACTTACAAATATCCATCAGTCCATTCAAAATTATCCAACAAACTCCAAGTGGTGTATCCAGTTACATTTATACCATCTTCCAATATAGCATCGAGAATATTACTTAAGTAGTCCTACAAAATGACATCTAACAGCATAAGATCGAAAAAGAAACGACGTCAAAGACGGTTGGGAATTACAACCGATGATAATTTTACCTAGGTCAAGCCTTTTTTATTTTTTAAAAACTTACTTTCAAATATGATATCCTGCCTTGGTCAGCCAACTGGCCCAAATCAGCCCATCCATTTTCAGTGATTATGATCTCAGAGGGCTTGTATTTTTCATTGACGTAGTTGATGACCTTTCTAGCACCATCAGGTACAGAATAGAGCCAGGCAGCATCACTTTGAGTCCAAGATGGATCTCCGGAAATATTGTAGGCGGCGTCTTGATCAAGAGATGGGGTTGGGAAAGCTTCTTCAGCAACATTTTCAATTAGGTAACTCGTATATCTTAATCAAGAAAATATGTAAATAAATTAATGAGGGACATACTATCGATACCTTCCTTTGAAAACCATGTAATTTAAAAAAAAGGTCTAATGGGATACATTGTATTTTGTATTTGACTAAGAGTGGGTCCCATAGGGGACCCTCCACTGAGGCCGCGAGGGCCTATTGTGGCTCAGTTTCTACAAGCTCTAATTTACAAGAGCGTCAAAGTTCATCCTCAAGACCCAGCCTCTTAATATAAGCCGTTATGTCTGAGGGCGATATGTCTCCTAGGTCTGATAGGTCTAGCATGGGTTTGCCAAACATCTCAAACCTGGTCCTGCTCCCAGCGGGGCAGGTACACATAACGTGCTTCATTGTTTCATCATCTTTCATACAGAGTCGGCATTCGGCGTCTTCCACCAGTCCCGTCCTCTGTAGGTGAGATCTCAGCCGGCAGTGGCCCGTGTACACTGCAGTGAGCACACGCGTTCCATTCCTACCGGCCTTTAGGAGTTCTCCTGTTCTATGTTTGGATGGCCCTGCTAGGATTTTCTTGGCATGTTCCATTCCGGGACTGTCATTCCAGTCTCGGAACGTCTCACTCCTAACCCATTCACAGAGCCTTAATTACTCAATGGTCATATTTTATGAAACACCCTGTATAAATTTATAAAAAAAATTAAAATATGTAAAACAACAAAATAAAATATACGTGTTTAAGAGTTTTTCCGAAAAACTCAACGGTTTTTAAATAAAAAATATTTTAATATTTGAGGGATAGTTTCACCCCCTTAGAATTCGAGTTTCGAAAAATCCCTTCTTATCGAACCTCTACACCCTAAAGTCAATCTGTTTTCCAAAAATCAGCTTTTTACGTCAAGCGCTTTAAGCAGGATCGTGATTAATCAATGACCAGATTTTTCGAAGCACCCTGTATACATTTTTAAAAAATCTTAAAATATGTAAAAAAACAAAATAAAATATACGTGTTTAAGCGTTTTTTCTGAAACTTGACCGTTTTTTAAATAAAAAATAATGTAACATTTGAGGGTTACCCGAACTTCTAGGTTATCGAACTTCTACACCCTAGAATCAACCTGTATACCAAAATGGAGCTTCTTACGTTGAGTGGTTTGAGCAGGATCGTGATTAATCAGTATGGATTTTATATATTAGCACAGATAACACATAATATGATAACACATAATTATGTGTTATCTGTGATATTAGTATAGATAATATTACTTACGTCTTATCCATTTCAAATCCGTACCTAATTTTATTAAAATATCATATCTAATATTCTTGCTGTAGCAAAAACCCGTAATATGCATCATACTGCAACAAAACCCGCCTTATCCGAATTATTTTCGTGTTTTTTCTCTTTAAAATTTAAATATTATTTCATTTCTATAGATAAACAAGATATAAAACACTTTTTTTTTGTAAAATAATGTTTCAAATATTCGAAACAACGTTTTTGGGATAATTGTAGACACTTTTTTGTAGACATCAATTGAAAGAGTTATTTTTTGCTCCTGCAAATACAGGTTTTGAGTACTTACGAGGTTTACAAAGTTAGGTATGGACATGGTTGTACTTTAGTAAAGAGCAAGACTGGTCTTGGTCTTTGATATACTTTGATCTTACATATTTAAAGCAAAAAAATCGGATGTTCCATTGATGTAATCTATTTCAACTGGAGTGAATTCTGGAAGCCTAGAGAATGAGTACCCTTGCTTCTGACTCGTGTAGTTCACCCTGTCAATGATGACCTGAGGCCAATTACCATTCCATACAGGGTTGACATATAGTCCACACTAAAATATATTTTTAATTGCTTTTAGAAAGATTTTTTTTTTAATATTTTTGTAAAATGTGCCTATATTGCTTTTCTGTGGTAGCTTATACCGGGTGCGTCTCAAAAGTGGCTCACCCCCTATAACTTTTTTATTTTTTCAGATAAAACAATGATATTTGGTATGTTAGTATATGTAACATACCAAATCTCGTTGTTTTATCTGAAAAAATAAAGAAGTTATAGGGGTGAGCCACTTTTGAGACGCACCCGGTATATTCATAGTTTTTTTTAATTTTTTTTTAATATACTCACAGTAAACTCCATGGCTCTGTCTTGGGCAGCTAGGTCTTCAGTTGAGTTGCTTTTAGGGTAGAGCCAATTGCAAACATTGTTCAAACCAACTTTACCTGTAATAGTAAGTGTTTATACTGGATGTGTGTTAAATTAGTGAACAATTATTTTATGGGCTGGTAAATCAGGACAAAGTAAAACAACTTTGCAAATTTGAAAAAATACTTTTTTAAATGGTTGTTTTAACTTAAATTAGAAATTTGTTACTGAGGATTCTGAATCTAATAGCTTCTTCGTAAACAAATATTTTCTTTTTAGTGACAATAACACTCTACTAACTGGACTAAAGTGGAAGCCATCTTAAATCGGAAATCAAGAACCTGGAAAATTCCTTCCGTAACCTGGAATGGGAATTCTCCAAGACACCTCGAAGGAATTTCTCAGAACTTACGACCGAGAAAAATGAGAAATTTTTCTTGATTTAAGTAAAGACAATCTTAGGAGTATGGACACTATCTCAATGAACATCTCAGTAGATTGAAGCTATGAAACAACGGCAAATGCAGATTTGAGTGCGCCGAGACGACAAACATTCGTGCCATAAATTTTGGTACGACTAACTAACCGTCTCAGATACCTGCTCTGCCTTATCTTAAAGCCCTGAGACTGAAGAAGCAGACACACAGTATATCTATAATGGCCCTACAAAGAAAATTTTATTATTTACCATTTTGTTGGGCTCTGAATTCATCATCATAAATGTGCCATGCCTTTGCATGCGCCAATACTTGTACGTAGGCACATTGGTAGGCACCTGCACCAGGTAGTGGCACACCTGGAGGATGTATTCCCTAAAAACAATAGAAACAATTTTCAAACCTCCTTCATTAATAATAGACAAATATTTAACTTATTTTTGCAACCTAAAAGCGTATAAAATAATATTTCTAATACCTGTTCGTAGCCATTAACACAGGTGGACGACGGTTCGTTCATTGTAATCCAATATTTGACGTAATCACCAAACAATTTGTAACAAATACGAGCAAAATCACCAAAGTAATCAGCTATTTGTGGATTGAGCCATCCGCCAAGGTCAGAGAGGTACTGAGGCAAGTCCCAATGGTACAATGTGACTATTGGTTCAATACCTGCAGCTTTCAGTTCCTAAAAACGGGTTAATTGTAACTTTGGTCTATGCTTTTTTGTATGGTTCTTGGCTAGAATACCTAGTACGTACCTTTAATAAGTTCAAGTAGTAATCGACACCAGCTTGGTTAATTTTTATTGGGGTACCATCGGGCAGAATTCTAGGCCATGATATAGAAAACCTAAAAAAATATTTTGAATAAAAAGAAGTATCCGAAGAAAACATTAATATTTTTGCTTTATTCACAACGAAGTTACAGGGTGGTCAAAAGTGCGCTAATACCTTCGAGAAAAAGATGGTACGGTACGATGACACTACTGTGCCCCTAGATAAGGCAGCAAAAAACACATCGTTCAGTAACTGATTATGTAAACGTTTTTAGTTCGTTACATGTATTTTTTGTATATGATTTGTGTGATGTCTGGCGTATCGTCATCGGATTCCGTATCGTTCAGGCCTGATAATTTATTTGGCACGCTTGGTATAATTTTTACGTTCCCTAGTCGCCAACCCTGCTATCGTTTCACTGTTCTGTGGAGGCGCGCGCTGTCAACATCGCTTCTGTCAACTCTGCGCGCTTGGCCTCACTTTTGCAAATCCCGGCTTTTAGAAATGGCGATTATTTAAATTTTGCTGTATAATCTGAATCAGCTGCCATTTCGGAGCAACAGGTAAGGATGAGATGTTTTCTTTATTAGATTCGTTATTATTATTGCTTTTGTCCTCCAGAATGTTACATGGGAGAAGGGACGGTTTCTTTATTTATTGTTGAGCCCTCGGAAGTAGTTCGAGGTGGGTTTGTTTTGTTTATTAGACCTTGTTTGGTTTTAAACAAGACTTTCGTATTTTTGGGGTCCAAGGTACGGAATATTTACAAGGTACGGGCATTATCCAAGGTCCTAATAGTATCCAAGGTACGGGTAGTGTTCCCCTGTACCGTTGTCTTATGGACGGACTGTGTCCAAGCTTATGGCCCAGGTTACGGACATTATCCAAGGTCCTAGTATTGTTCCAAGGTACGGGTAGTGTCCCCATATTGCCACAGTATGGATACAGCGTAAGCCCCATGCTGCTTCGCTCCCATTTCTAAGCCTAGTCAGTATCTACGACTGTATTGATTTATGGTGTCCTCATTCTGGCCCCTTTTGTTTTTTGGCCAACAGGATCGCCGACAGACAGTACAGAGATATGAGCCCACCTCACGCTGCTACTCTTCGAAACAGGATTGCCTCAAGAACAGCTAAGTGTAGATTTAGGTTCTGGTTTTCAGTCAATTTTCAGTCTTAACACTTAATAACGTACATTTTAAATAATATCGTACAGACTATATTTAGTGGTTGGATTATTAAGAACATTTATGTCGATTTAGTAGTTACAATATGATTTTGATCTTAGGTTTCATTACAATACGCCTTGTAATAGTATTACTTTTTTATAGATATTATTATTGCACTAACATCATATAAAATATATCGAATTAATTAAAGTAATGCTACATTTCATATATTCTCTTAAACGTTACATGTCTTGTATTTTATCATAGTTGTTTTCATAGATATTTAGTACAATTCTTAACACCATTTTTTCGTTGACATATAACCACTATAATAATTATTAAAATTGTACAATGCTATTTACCATCACAGTCCATCATGAATAAATATAGTCATTAGTTTTAAGTAATATACAACTGTGTTTTCTTTCTCTGTACAGGGTGGGCCAAATTCGACGCTTTTAAATGGAAACACCCTTTTCTATAGGATATAGACGAAAACTAATATCGGTGTCTGGAGCTCAATTTTCATCAAAAATATGATGGTGAAAACCGCACATCAATATTTGTTACCGTTTCGAAGTTACGGGGTGTTTTTCAAAAATGTGCATTTTTAACAAATCGCTGTAACTTTTTCGCTATGAAAATTTTTTTATTTCTATAAAAACATTTCCAAAGCACCTTTTTACGTAGAACTTAATGGTTTAAGTATAATTTTTTTAAAATTAATAATTTAAGAGTTACCAACAGAAAATTTGATTTTTTATTTGGGACACCCTCTATATTTTTAATTAACTGAAAAGAATTTAAAATTACCTTTCCAAAAATATAGCACACTTGATATTTTGTTATAATCCCCTAAAAAAGCTATTTTGGCTTTTTTTACAATAAAGCGTTATAGACCAATATTTTTATCGTAAAATTGTATTATATACCTGTAACTTTTTAGTCCAAGTTCTTTCAAAAGTGCCACATCCTCTTTGTATTTGTTGTAGGAATCACAAGCAACATCTCCTGTATCGTTGTTATAAATTTTAGCAGGTATATGAGTAAAAACATCCCAATAACTGGCACCTTTATCATCTTCATCCCATCCACCTTCAATTTGGTAAGCTGCACCAGCTGCTCCAAACAGGAAGTCTTCAGGAAACTCCTTAGCAGCTAGACAACTAAAAACAGGGAAAAAATCAATAACTACCTAAGATCTTCTCTGGATTTACTTATTTTTCTGGTTTAAACTCTCTTACCTGGATAGGACTGTTAAAAAAACAATCGTAAATATTTTCATATCGAAATCACTGTAAAATAGTTTTCAGAAATACTCTACGATAAAATATTAATTATGTTTGAAGTAATTACAATGGTTTTATATTATTTTCTTTATCTGATTAAGTGGTTTTCATGAATGACATTCTTGATTATTAAATCAAATGGTGTTATACCACATCATGCCGATTAAAAGTAGTATGTATACATAATATTAAATAATTTTTAATATACATAATAATACGTGGTGTTATAACAGTGGTATACAGGGTGTTTCAAAACAAATGCGAAAAACTTCAGGGGGTGATTCCTTGTTCAAAATAAATGGTAGTTTGCTTCATAAACGTTGGGTCAAAAGTCAACCATTAGGGAGATATTGCGGTACAAAGATGGCGGAAAAATAATGTTTTTATTTTTTATCTTGAAAACGAAAAGAGATAGACTAATACAATTTTATGGAAGCATTACTGTTATGAAAACACACTTTCTGGTATTTTTTTCACTTTTTTAAAATGAGTGGAAGGGGTTGAAATAAACTACCCCTATCATTCTTGTTAACGAAATTTAAAGAAAAATCTTATCAAACACATGCAAAAAAATTAATTTGGATAGTTTAGTTTGTTTAGAAACTTTTTTATCTCTTGTATTTTTTTGATAAAACTCACCGATCTGAAATTAAAAAATAAAATGTAAAACATTACATGTCAGGACAAAAAACATTTTCTGATAAAGAATCTAGTGGGCTGCTGTAATTTTTTTAGGAAAAAATCTAGTCGGCCGCTGTTACTTTTTAGGATGTTCCTAATATTATTTTATTTGACATTACTCTACTGCAATACGTTATTATCTAGATGATTATTATTATCGTTATTATCACTAGATTCTTAATCTAAAAATGTTTTTTGTCCTGACATGTAATGCTTTACATTTTATTTTTTAATTTCCAATCGGTGAGTTTAAAAAGTTTCTAAACGAACTAAACCATCCAAATTAAAGCATTTGCATGTGTTTGATAAAATTTTTCTTTAAATTTCGTTAACAAGAATGATAGGGGTAGTTTATTTCAACCCCTTCCACTCATTTTAAAAAGTAAAAAATTACCTGAAAGTGTGTTTTCATAACAGTAATGCTTCCATAAAATTTCATTACTCTATCTCTTTTCGTTTTCAAGATAAAAAATAAAAACATTATTTTTCCGCCATCTTTGTACCGCGATATCTCCCTAATGGTGGACTTTGACCCAACGATTATAAAGCAAACTACCCTTTATTTTGAACAAGGAATCACCCCCTGAAGTTTTTCGCATTTGTTTTGAAACACCCTGTATACTTTGCAATAGGATATTATTTGAACACGTATTTAGATATATCGAGTAATTCATCGGTTCAGTGCACCATAATGCCATTGTTGAGGATATACAGGGTGTAGGTCGAACGTGCATTTGAAGTTTCTAGGGAACTATAATATTATCTAGATCGAAGATTTTTTGCACATCGTTCTTTCACAACGAGATCAGTATCGATTAAAAATATTCTCAATATGACGTCACTTCCGGAAATACAGGAAGTTGACAGCAACTTTCTTATTTTAAATGGGTGCCCTTATTTTTTATTACACACTTAATTTCTCTGTGAATTTTTATGAATTTTGATATCAAACACTCTATAACTGTTTTTGAGATAAAAAAATATTTTAAATTTTTGGAGGAAACAGAGTGCCTGTCAAAAAAAGCTTGTAAATGCTCAGTGACGGATTAAGGAGGGGGCGGGGGCGGGCGCTCAATTCCATGACAGCTGCGGCCATTATTATATGACATTCGGACAATTTAATTTTAGAAATAGATACCCATATGTTTTCTCTTTATGGTACAGTGGCTGTGGCAATCACTAAATTTGATGTTTAGGCTATACATATTTTTGACAGGCAGTTTTTTTCCTCCAAAAATTATAAATATTTTTTTAAGGCCTTAATTCTTTAGTATTTATTTAACGTTTGATTTTGTACGAGTTTTTTTGATTGATTGACAATTAAAGGGAACTGGTTGTGATAAAAAAGTGGAATTGGTCACTAAATATGGCTAATTGCTGTTAATTTGCAGAAGAGCAAGAGGTTTGTATTTGGTAGATCATAAAATCAAACAGGTCTAAAAACTCTGAGAACCCGAGAGAACTAGGAAAACCTAGAAAGTCACATTATCCAAGTAACAGATTTTCTTGAAGGTAAATTATGTTTGATTACGAAGAAAGGAACGTTTATAAATTTTGATGAGTCTCGAAAATTGATATGGTAGGTACGATATAGGAAGCCTAGAGGTACGACTTTTATAACCGATTTACTGAATCATACCATCTGTAAAATGCAAATAAAAGTCTCTAATAAAACATATAAAATATTTGGAAGAGCTTACAAGCATCTACTCCAAAAAATTTCATATTTTTTAAACTTTTTCGAAGAGTGATGCGGTTTAATGGCTTCAAATGATTTTTGGGATGCCTCTTTGTTTACTTCTTTCTCTGAATTTTCTCTGAATACGTTTTTCACTTTACTAGTTTATTTCCATGTAATTTCAATCAAGGTATAATTCTTTAATTAAAAGCCTCCTTAGTTATTTTATAGTACGAAGTAATTATTAGAATAACACTATTTTTTAAAAAAAAAACCAATTTTAAAAAATATTATGTGTTTGAAAAAATGCTTTTAGTTAATTTATTTGTATTTCAATAAAATTATTAATTGGTTTTAATTCTTTTTTTTTGAGTTTATTATCAAACCACTTGATAAGCACTTGATTGATATGAACGGAAACATTTTTCCTGTTTATAGATCGTATACAACGTGTACGTGTAGAAAAAATGTTTAAGTGTCAGTAAATAATTATTTTAATAATAATAAAGTAATTAAGTGTCCAGGTTTCGTATTCATAGGTCATGACAGGTAGTACACATTGGTCGAATGTGTTCTTCTTTAGATAGAGTGGCATTCTAGGCATGAATATGATTACTTTTATATAGTGGAGTGCTTTAAGCCCTTATGATATACAAACCTCGGAATTCATTTACTGTGAACGAATTTTTATAGAACTTTTTGCATTGTATTGTTAATAAGATATATTACAAAGTTTATCTATTTAAATTCGTTAGTATTTAAATAAACACACACGTATACAAATGCATACATACAAGATGGCTCCGTTTTCCGGAAAAGCTCTGTATCAGGATTCCTATTTGAGATTTTCACTCCAAACCTTTTACAAAATATATGTTTAATAGTAGTTTTCATTCACACATTCACATTTCAAAAATATTTTTATAGATATACAGGGTGAGTCAAATATATATCATTTATTTATTCGAGTTTAGTGAATTTGCTATAAAATTCTGGTTCCAAAAATACCTTAATACCTTAGAGTATATTAAATGGTCTTTGAATTATGACCACGTCCATGAGGACGTCAATATAGACGTCCAGGAACCTTCGTATGAGAACTTCTAATCGAGACGATCGACTTATTGTAAGTTTATCGCTAAGAAACCGCCGTTTGCCAGCTTTTCGAATTGATAACGAATTGCACTTAAGAACCATACATATTAACTAACGGACTACAAGAAGAAGATTAAATGAAGCAAATCTTATGTCAAGAAGGCCTGCTTCGGGACCAGAACTTACTAGATGTGTTGACTAGGCCCAAAAGCAAAGGCATGGTCTTAATGTAAAAATTACGAAAAATGTTAGTGCCTTCTTTAAAACCGAATATTTGCAACAAAAATAAAGCTAATGAGATGAACCAAAAAACAAACCATCGAGAAAGGATGTATCTAAATGATAAAATAATTTTTAAATTTCTTACCGTTTTAACATATTTCATCAAAAATATCAACATTTTGTTTTCCCTCGTATAATTAACAGATGGGGAGTTTCATTTTTAATTTAGAAAAAGATACCAAAAAGTCAAATAATTTGGCAACACACTGCTTAAAAAATCATCAAAATCGGTCCATTAAAATAAAATATATTAACCTCTAAAATACATAAAAGTTTTAAGGTGCCCATTTTTCGTGCCGGTCAATGTATTTCAAAAACTATACATTTTAGTCATATACTTTGCTAATGAAACAAACCTTTATTTTTTACTAGAATCCAAAAATCAATTAATATATAGGGTGTTCCATTACAAAAAACATAACTTTGATGCGTTACTTTTTTTGGGGACACCCTGTAGAACTCTACATAATTTTAGAAAATACTTTAAATTGACTTACATAACCTCAGAAAATTTCACTTCAATATAAACTTTTGTTCTCCTTGCAAAATCCGCGTCGTATATGACGCGCCACCCTGTATAATTCGATTTCAATCAAAATTTCAATGATTAGAATATAAGCAGAATAAGTATAGCTTATGTATAAGATTTATTTATTCCAATAAATTTACTTAGAAAAAGAATTAAAAAAATCAAAATATTAAGAAATGAAATAATTAAGAATTTACTAAAATTACTAAAATAAAAAATTAAAAGCAACGAAAAAAAAAATGGGTAAAAAAAAGTATTTTATCTATAAAACAAAATACAGAAGGTTTCAGATTAATACAATCATAGTAATCGAATTCCGAGGTAAAAGTCTCTGGGCACTCATATCTGAAAAATTGTCAAATAAATATTCAAAAATAGAAGGACCAGGAGAAAAAAAAAACAAATAAATATTTATATATTATTTTTATTATAAAAAAAATTCCATTCAATTCAACTGTCAACGCATTCATCAACTAAGCAACGCGTCGAGACCAGGTTCTGGTACCATCGTGCCGATTCCCTGAGGGTCCTGGTACGATTTGGACTGTCGAAATCAACCTGGATTATTCCGAATTTCTGGGTGTAGCCTTGGGCCCATTCGAAGTTATCCATCAAGCTCCAGGTGGTGTATCCAACCACGTTAACGCCATCCTCCAGGATAGCGTCCAAGAGATTACTCAAATATCCCTGAAAAAAAAATTGTTAATAATTTTGTGTTCTGGTTTGTCAAAATCGATTTTAGAATAGTTAAGATCTCTATGAAGACTAAATAGTGCTTTACCTGAAGATAATCTATTCTGCTTTGATCTGCCAACGTATCATTGGTAGCCCATCCATTTTCAGTGACATAGATTGAACCAGGGTTATATTTGTTCCATACAATATTCAACAGTTTTCTCATACCTGTCAAAAAAATTAACGAAATATGGTGATGAGATATAAATAAAAATAAAATAACGTAAAAGTAGTCGTACCGGCTGGGTATGAGTACAACCAATCAGCTTCTGAGGCTGTCCAATCGACTCCGTGAGTTGTGGCAGTACCTTTGTCTGAGTAGTAGCTGGGTTCACCAATTGGGTAGTCTGCGCTTGCGGCAATTAGTGATGTGTACCTATAAAAATAATAAATAATGTTTTATTGTTATTAACAAGATTGGCTACAAAACGGTAGATTAACAAGAGATCTCTAGATGATGATGATACTTACATGTTCAATCCAAAGAAGTCAAAAGTTCCATTGACGTAAGCCACTTGTTCTGGAGTGAATGCAGGCAGTCTAGAGAAAGAATAGCCTTCTTGTAGACTTCTGTTGTATATTTGGGCTTTCATAACTTCAGGCCAGTCACCTAGATAGATAGGGTTAGCGTACCAACCCAGCTAAACAAAAAAAAAATAGACTCAGTACTTATCAATTTTGTTTTGAGTTTAAAAATATTTTTTGAAAAAATATATTTACTTAATTTGAAAACACTTAACAGCATATTTAACTTACATTAAATTCTGTTTCGGTTTCGGCGGCAGCAATATCTTCAGCACTGTCAGATGCAGGTTCGTTGTAAGTAGCATCAATAACAATGCTGACTTTTCCTGAAAAAAAAACATAATATGAAGTCTTGTCCTGGTCGGTCTTGATCTAGGTCTCGCAGATCAAACTCTAGCCTTGATCTTGCTTGTTTTGTGCAAGACTAAGAAAATATATAATTTTAAAAGATGTTTCTTTGAATAATACCTTTTTGTGTAGCTGCAAATTCCTCTTGGTAAATGTGGTAGGCTTTGGCATGAGCTAGAAGTTGTACTTTGGCACATTTGTATACACCATCGGCAAGCAGTTGAAGACCTGGAGCCATAGACTATAGAGAAAAGTGAAAGGTATAATTTTTCATATTCAAAATCAATTAAAATATATTACCCCTCCGCCATAACCATTCATACAAGTTGTCTTCGGTTCGTTGATGGTAGCCCAGAGCTTGACATCGTCACCAAAATTCTTGAACACAATCCTGGCATAATCTCCGAAGTAATCAGCAATATCCTCGTTCAACCATCCTCCTAGATCCAAAAGATGCACAGGGAGATCCCAGTGGTACAATGTTACCAATGGTTCAATACCTGCTTCTTTTAAACCCTTTAAAAATCAATTAGTATTAGTAAAATTAACAATGTGTTATTGTAAAGTTTTTTTTACTTACATTGATTACTTTGCGATAGTAATCTATTCCAGCCTGGTTAATTTTGTTTGGTGTACCATTTGGTAGGATTCTTGGCCATGAAATGGAGAATCTGTAAAGTTTGACTCCTAGTTCTTTCAAGAGTTCTATATCTTCCTGCCATTTGTGGTAGGAGTCGCATGCAACGTCTCCATTTAGTTGATCTTTTACTCTAGCTGTAATAAATATTTTTTTTTATATTGTGGAAGGAATAATAATACATGAAAGAAACAATTCAGTACTGTCATCTTCAAGGATAGATAAGCAGCGCTAAACTACTTGAGTTTTTTGAATCAGGGTTACTTTCTTTTTAGGTTTTTATTCTGACACACAAGCTAGCGAGATATAGATCTAAAAAGATTGCAGTGGTATTCTAGCTATAATTGGTTTGTTAAAATCTTGGAATTTTTTTTGGTTTGAAACTTATATTTAAATATTTGGTACACAAGCAACTGGTATTAACTTACTTGGGTCCTCGTGCACAAACTTGTCCCATATACTTTCCCCTTTACCATCTTCATTCCAAGCACCTTCCACTTGGTAGGCCGCAGTGGCGGCACCAAATTTAAATGTCTCGGGGAATGTTTTATTAGAAATATCTCCAAAACCACTAGAATTAAAAAAAAATGTTCTGTCAAGAGGAAATAATAGAAATTATTCGCATTACCTTGTAACCAAGCAACTGCAAGCGAGAACCAGACCAAGAACCCTCATTTTGAACAAAATATCACAGAATTTATTCCATTACTTACCTTTATATATAATTTTAAAAACTTTTATCTCAATTAATTTGTTGAGATTACATATCAAAAAATATGAACGGGGTTCAAAAAATCTTTCTACACTTCTCGAAAGTGATATAATATTCAAAAACATATTATTATTTATCTGTTAATGAAGTACCACTGTTATGATAGGATACTTGTAGGTATGTGTTGAATTTTGTTGTTTTGGTGTAATTTTTCCTACATACTTCATCACAAGTATATTTGCTATTTGATTACGTTGACATGCAGTAAAAAATACAAATAATTTTTATGAATTTATTGACAAAATGGTGAAGGAAATTTTATTAAAACAAATCAAATTTCAAAAATATATTTTATTTCTGTTTTATATATTTTTTATTCTACTGTACACATTCGTCAACTAGACATCTTGTTGCTATGACGTTCTGGTACCACTCGGCTGATTTTTTAAAAGTTCTCGTACGATTTGGGCTGTCAAAGTCAACTTGTACTATTCCTATTTTTTGAGTGTACCCGTCGGTCCATTCATAGTCATCCAGTAGGCTCCAAAGTGTGTAACCAATGACATTGACTTGATCCTCAGTTATGGCATCTAATAAGTTACTTAGATACCCCTAAAAAAATAAAAAAATAGTATAAACTATTTTCAAAAACATTTTGTACCCACATTTGTTAAAAATCATTTCTAAAAGTAACGTAATTGAGCTTTGTAAGAAACAATTTTGGAAAATTCGCCCCATAAGCATCCAGTTCCAAGAGGTTGAAACCACCCCTCCAATATTAGAATATTTTTTATTTAAAAAACGGTCAAGTTTCCAAAAAAACGCTTAAACACGTATATTTTATTTTGTTTTTTTACATATTTTAAGATTTTTTAAAAATGTATACAGGGTGTTTCGAAAAATCTGGTCATTGATTAATCACGATCCTGCTTAAAGCGCTTGACGTAAAAAGCTGCTTTTTGGAAAACAGATTGACTTTAGGGTGTAGAGGTTCGATAAAAAGGGATTTTTCGAAACTCGAATTCTAAGGGGGTGAAACTCTCCCTCAAATATTAAAATAGTTTTTATTTAAAAACCGGTGAGTTTTTCGGAAAAACTCTTAAACACATATATTTTATTTTGTTGTTTTACATATTTTAAGATTTTTTATAAATTTATACAGTGTGTTTCATAAAATATGACCATTTAGTAATCACGATTCTGCTTAAATTGCTTGACGTTTAAAGCTGATTTTTGGCAAACGGGTTGACTGTGGGGTGTAGAGGTTCGATAAGGAGGGGTTTCTCGAATCCCAAATTCCGAGAGGGTGAAAACGCCCCTCAAATATTATTTACAATATTTGTTATTTAAAAAACGGTTAGTCTTTCGGGAAAACGCTTGGACAAGCATAATTTATTTGGTTTATTTACATATTTTGAAATTTTTTAAAAAATCATACAGAGTGTTCCAAAAAGTTGGGTAATTATCCACGATTCTGCTTACTACGGTTCCAACGTCATAGCAGCGTAAAGTCATAACGCTTTAAACCACGCGGCCACCGAGGACTTGAAACGTTCTATGTAGAATTCTTACTTAAAAGATAATGTTTAGTGAAAGTACTTTTTTATTTATAAACATTTATTTAATTCTGTTTTTAGTATTTGTTCTTATAGCGGCAACATAGATACATTATCTGTAAACATTTCAACTGAATTTTTCAATGAACCAAAAATAGAGAATAGAAATTCTTAGTAATAGAGTTCCCCTTTTTACCCTTTGGGTACGGCAAAAGACTACAAAGGTTCATCCATTTAGTGCGTCAAGTAAAGCATAAAAAATTGATTTATTTATTTTGATTAACTTTTTATATTGTACCTGTAGATAATCTATTCTAGATTGATCTTCCAGAGTGTTATTTGTACCGGTAGGCCAGCCATTTTCTGTGACAACGATTTCTCCAGGGCTGTATTTATCCCAAATTAGATTCAGCAACTTTCTCATACCTAAACGATTAAAATACATTTGTTTGATTGAGTTTATTTTGAGAAAATTCAGTAATTACCAGGAGGGTACGAGTACAACCAACTAACTGTTGAAGGTGTCCAATCCTCGCCGTGCGTATTGGTCATTCCTTTATCTAAATAAAAATTAGGTTCTCCTATAGGAAAATCATCCGCGTATGAAGTGAGTGTTCCAGAATATCTATAAAAATAAGTTTTCAAAGGTTATTTTTGTTATTATTAAATAAGAATTTAGAGTCTTACATATTTAATGCAAAGTAGTCAAAAGTTCCTTTGACATAGTCTATTTCTTCTTGAGTGAATGCTGGAAGTCTGGAGAAAGAATATCCTTCAAGTTGGCTTCTGTTGGCTACTCTGGTTTTCATTATTTCAGGCCAATCACCGAGGTATACAGGGTTGGCATACCAACCAAGCTAGAAATCACATATAAATACATCCTTATTCTCTGACACCTTGTATATTATTTATGAGACATAATTAAAAAAAATACATTTATTCGCTCTCCAAATAGAATGAATTAATAAACACCAAATTTAATTGTTAATTTAATTACTTTTGTGTAATTTTGTGGTAGTACAATATTTTTCTGATTTTTATAAGACTAATATGCTTACGTTAAATTCATTTTCAACCTCAGCTGCGTATTGATCTAAGGAGCTGTTGGTCGCTGGTTCATTGTAAGGAGTGTCGAGAACCAATGTCACTTTACCTATAAATAAAAAGTAACAGTTATTTAATACTATTAATATAAAATATCACAAAACTGACAATATAAACGATAAAGCAAGAAACAAAGACCAGTAAAATATAGAGGAAATAAAAATAACAAAGAATAGCCTTAAATAACTTTTGTATATTTCCTGTATAACAAAGAAAAAAACATAAAGTAAATAAGAAAATTCGTACTGCATCATATATACTTTCCTGTTTCCTGGTCTTGTTTTTTCAGTTTTAATACTAAATAAGCGGAACTACCGTTGTCTCTCCCTGGCTCTCCCTCAACACTATTAGCATTTCAGCTCAAACTAAGACATAGTCTGATAGAATATAAAATTCTGCATACGACAAGTATAGTTTCGATTCCTTTAGAATTTTGTTAATATTTTTTTCAACGGTACAAACACTGGTCCTGTTTTTTCAGTTTTAAGACAAAATAAGCGGAACTACCGCTGTCTCTTCCTGCCTCTCCCTCAACACTATTAACATTTCAGCTCAAACTAAGACGTATTCTGATAGAATATAAAATTCTGCATACGACAAGTATAGTTTTAGTTCCTCTAGAATTTTATTAATATTTTTTTCAACGGTACAAACACTGGTCCTGTTTTTTCAGTTTTAAGACAAAATAAGCGGAACTGCCGCTGTCTCTCCCTGCCTCTCCCTCAACACTATTAACATTTTAGCTCAAACTAAGACATATTCTGATAGAATATAAAATTCTGAATACGACAAGTATAGTTTTAGTTCGTCTAGAATTTTATTAATATTTTTTCAACGGTACAAACACTGGTCCTGTTTTTTCAGTTTTAAGACAAAATAAGCGGAACTACCGCTGTCTCTCCCTGCCTCTCCCTCAACACTATTAACATTTCAGCTCAAACTAAGACATATTCTGATAGAATATAAAATTCTGCATACGACAAGTATAGTTTTAGTTCCTCTAGAATTTTATTAATATTTTTTTCAACGGTACAAACACTGGTCCTCTTTTTCAGTTTTAAGACAAAATAAGCGGAACTACTACTGTCTCTCCCAGGTTCTCCCTCAACACTATTAACATTTCAGCTCAAACTAAGACGTATTCTGATAGAATATAAAATTCTGCATACGACAAGTATAGTTTTAGTTCCTCCAGAATTTTATTAATATTTTTTTCAACGGTACAAACACTGGTCCTGTTTTTTCAGTTTTAAGACAAAATAAGCGGAACTGCCGCTGTCTCTCCCTGCCTCTCCCTCAACACTATTAACATTTCAGCTCAAACTAAGACATATTCTGATAGAATATAAAATTCTGAATACGACAAGTATAGTTTTAATTCCTTTAGAATTGTATTAATATTTTTTTTAACGGTACAAATACTGGACCTGTTTTTTTCAGTTTTAAGACAAAATAAGCGGAACTACCGCTGTCTCTCCCTGGCTCTCCCTCAACACTATTAACATTTTAGCTCAAACTAAGACATATTCTGATAGAATATAAAATTCTGCATAATGACAAGTATAGCTTTAGTTCCTCTAGAATTTTATTAATATTTTTTTTTTCAACGGTACAAACACTGGTCCTGTTTTTTCAGTTTTAAGACAAAATAAGCGGAACTACCGCTGTCTCTCCCTGCCTCTCCCTCAACACTATTAACATTTCAGCTCAAACTAAGACATATTCTGATAGAATATAAAATTCTGCATACGACAAGTATAGTTTTAGTTCCTCTAGAATTTTATTAATATTTTTTTCAACGGTACAAACACTGGTCCTGTTTTTTCAGTTTTAAGACAAAATAAGCGGAACTACCGCTGTCTCTCCCTGCCTCTCCCTCAACACTATTAACATTTCAGCTCAAACTAAGACGTATTCTAATAGAATATAAAACTCTGAATACGACAAGTATAGTTTCGATTCCTTTAGGATTTTGTTAATATTTTTTTCAACGATAAATAATAGTTCTGTTTTTCTCAGCTTTAAGACAAAATAAGCGAAACTACCGCTGTCTCTCCCGGGCTCTCCCTCAACACTATTGACATTTCAGCTCAGACTAAGACATATTCTGATAGAATATAAAATTCTGCATACGACAGGTATAGTTTTAACTCTTTTAGAATTTTGTTAATATTTTTTTCAACGGTACAAATACTGGTTTTGGGTTTTTTCAGCTTTAAGACAAAATATGCGGAACTAGCGCTGTCTCTCCCGGGCTCTCCCTCAACACTATTAACACTACAGCTTAAACTAAAACATATTCTGGTAGAATATAAAATTCTGCATACGACAAGTATAGTCTTCACTCCTTTAGAATTTTGTTAATATATTTCAACTGTACAAATACTGGTTCTGTTTTTTTTTCAGCTTTAAGACAAAATAAACAAAACTACCGCTGTCTGGGTTTTGACAACTAGTGTGTGTTATAAGCAATATAAACAAAACAAATACAAATGAAAGTGTGAAATTACCATTTTGTGTTGCAGCAAATTCATCCTTGTAGATATGGTAAGCTTTGGCATGGGCAAGCAACTGAACTTTGGCACATCTGTAAACTCCATCTCCGACAAGATTCAAACCAGGGGCAGCAGTCTAAACATTAGAAATGAGAACCTTAAAATTTATACAAAACTTTACTAATGTTATATCTTTTAAGACATACTTGTTTTTAATCTTATGTTTAATACGTATTACTTAAATATCTATAGAATGTTACATACATCAGTTCCATATCCAACCAAGCATGTTGATTTGGGTTCATTCAATGTTGCCCAAAATTTGACATCATCACCAAAATTCTCGAACAGCACTCTGGCATAATCACCAAAATAATTCACGATATCCTCATTCAACCATCCTCCTAGTTCGTAAAGATACTGGGGTAGATCCCAATGGTACATGGTAACCAGTGGTTCAATTCCAGCTTCTTTAAGAGCCTATATATGAATAAAAATGATGGAAAATCGTATTTCATACAGGGTTGTACTCACATTGATGAAGGTTTTGTAGTGGTCTATACCGGCTTGGTTAATTTTGTTTGGTGTACCATTTGGCATTATCCTAGGCCAAGAAATTGAGAACCTGTGAATGCCAAGTCCCAATCGTTTCATGATTTCGATATCTTCGCTCCATTTGTGATAGGAATCACAAGCTATATTAGCATTTTGACCATCTGCAGTCCTGCCTGTGATAAACAGAATCTTAGACTATAATAATGTGTAATATTTACTTATTTACTTTGATTGTCGTGAACAAATTTGTCCCACATGCTTGGTCCTTTGCCATCTTCGTCCCAGGCACCTTCAATCTGGTGCGCAGCAGTGGCGGCGCCAAATAAAAATGTCTCGGGGAATTTCTTATGTTGGAAATGTCACCAAAAACCTCTCCAATCGCCCAGCAACTTTGCGTAAAGAATTTTTTATTTATCTTAATTACTATATTATCAATTAACGAGCAAAAAATTGATTGCTGAACATATTTACTTATATTTTTTTAAAGAAAACAGGGAAACATATATGGAGATAATAACTCGAACTTACCCGGAGATGACACAACAAACAAAAATAGTCTTGAATGACTTCATGTTTGAACTAAATTATAATAAATAATAATAACACTTTACTAGGACTCTCGTATTTATAGGTTTAAAAATTATTATCTGGAATGATTGTAATAATACTTAAAATTTCTATTTTTAATGTTGTTTAAGAGATTTTATCATTATAGTGTAATACTCTTTTTTTATTTCTATTTCGGTATCTGTTAAGGACATATAAGTAAGTGAGGATAGTGTAATTTCTTAATAAAATTTATTTTTATTTTACATTGTACATGCTATGCTCTTAAAGACATTCTTCTACTAAGCATTTGGTTTTGATTACGTTCTGGAACCAATAATAAGAATCTTTTGGTGTTCTAGTTCTGTTAGCATCTTCAAAATCCACTTGTACAAGACCCAATTTTTGACTGTTAATATAAAAAAAATTAAATTAAAAAAAAAATATATTAAAATTTTTGTTAAAAAAAGCTTACGTGTAACCATTAGTCCATTCAAAATTATCCAGTAAGCTCCAAACAGTATAACCTGTAACATTGACGCCATCTTCATAGTAAGCATCCAGCAAAGCACTCAAATATTGCTAAAAAAATGTTATATCAAGTAATATTTTAAAACTACTTTACGTGTACTTATTTCTCTGATTCTTACAGTTATATAAGACTGTCTATCAATATCTGTTAAAGTGCCAGTCTTGTCAGCCCAACCGTTTTCAGTGACGATAATTTCTGGATGATTATACTGCTCATAAACGTATTTCAGCAATTTCCTGAACCCCCATGGCACTTGATGGACCCATGGGACATCTGAGGGCCAGGACGGGTCCACTGAAGATGACGTACCTTAAAACGAATAGTGTTTTTATAGAGTTTCTTTTTAATTTATTTTTGTACCTTTATCTAAACCGTAATTGGGTACGCCTATGTTTTCATTTGGCTTGTTTAGGTGGCTTATCAAATTTGTTCCATATCTGTCAATAATATACATAATTTACTAAAGTATACAGGGTTGTTCGCCACATACGACACGGAGTATTGTAGCTAAACGATTAGATTTTTATAAATTTTAAATTTTGGGTTTGTTATAAATAATATAAACCCAAAACTTACAATTTGCAAAAATCTAATCGTTTAGCTACAATACTCCGTGTCGTATGTGGCGAACAACCCTGTATGTGTGCATTGATTTGTTTTGGAAGATTTCTTCCAGTGTTTATAGTTTTATAACAACACTAGAAGAATTTTTTCGTCAACTAGAGTGGACAAATAAAGGATTGAAAATAGATCGAGAATATCTTAACATCATATAGGACTCAGGGTTGTTCATTTTTTAATTCTCCATCTAATAAAAAAAAAACAATATACAGTGTTAAAAAAAACATACATACAAAGTTTAAAAAAAAACGAAGAAAATTTTTATTATTTTATAATTTAAAAAGTTTCGCGTAAAATTTTGAACACCCTGTATGGTTTAAGATTACATCTAAAGTAAATACCCAATATAGTTTTGATTTTAGGACAGTTCTTGTATTTGTAATAATTTTTTTAGGAAAGACTGAAAAATAATATTTATTATTTATATATATTAATACCTCTGAAAATATCGAAATATATTTACTCATATCTTCAGATCATGTAAAGTGTCATGAAAGGAAGTCAAAAATTCAATAATATACAGGGTGTTCCATTTAAAAGAAATCATCCCGATCCACTAACTTTTTTTTGAGCCACACTGTAGATGTTAAAATATTTACCTGAAATACATCCCAGTACATACTTTAGGTTTGCACTTAATAAAATTCTCAAGTTTTTATTCTAGGAGCTACAGATGTACGACGCATTTTTGCCGGACCCTGTATAATAATAACAATAATAAACGATAAGGATACTAACGTATTGAGTCCAAAGAAGTCAGCAGTACCGTTGATATAATCAATTTGTTCTTGAGTGAATTGAGGAAGTCTTGATTGGGCAAAACCTTCCAATTCACTCCTTGTAGCCACATTATCTATAACAACTTGAGGCCAGTTGCCTAAGTAGATTGGGTTAGCGTACAGTCCAAGCTAAAGAAGAAAACGTATTAAGAATGATTTAAATTTTTAAAGACATGATAATGTTAGACGCAAAATGATAATAAATCAATCACAGCAATCTTATAGACCTATTCCCAAGCAGCAATTGGAAGTCGGGACAACGTTGTGTCACGCGACCAAACGTCGGGGCGCAACGTCGGAAGTATCGTAAGTACCCTAGTCTGTACTATGTTTGAAGATAATAATTGGGTCGAAACGACTTTAACCGACTCTCCGTACGTTGGCTACCCAAGGCTAATTTAGTACAAACTGCAAACAACTTTATTGATAAATGTATTGTTTCTACTTTGAAAAATACAAAACTATAATAATATGGCGTCCAACTCGCGTTTATTTAAATTGGGATAATTATAGTAAAAATATTATTTTATGATTTAGTTAGAGACATATGCCAGATGGCAGTAAAGAAAAACAAAACAAAAAGTATTTAAGTGTGGAGGATGTTCGAAGATCATAATTATTGAAACACTTTGACCGACTCTGTAACTCGTTACCCAAGGCAAAAAGTAAAACGCAACAACTTTATTGATAAATGGCCTTAAAATTAAAGAAGTTTTAAACATTTTCTTGAATTTTTTTTAAAAAAATGAGAATAATTTATTCGCAGTCGAAAAATTGTTTCCGCGTGTTGTTTAGGGTCAAATATTTCAAATTAACGTATTCAAAAAGTAGGAATTGCTATTTTAGGAACGAAACAGTTTCTTATTCAACAACATGGCGGCTTTAACTTTGTTGTTTTGGAGATTAAGATGGAGTAGTTCGAGTAGTCGCATACCTGGACTAATAAAGTCGCAGTTCAGCCCTAACAGGTAGTATACTAGTCGCAAGATTGCCTAATTTAGTCATCCTAGAGTCTAGCTTGTGCCGCCCTATATTCTAAATAAACGAGGGAGTGGATAAACTATCGGTAATATGTCGATATATATTTAAATTTAGTTTTATATGTACCTTTCTTATGTCCCATTTTAATTAAGTTTTTTTTATAAAAACAAAAAAAAAATAAGATTTAAGGTTATGGTTCAATACAGTTGCAAAAAGGTAGTGGCTCGACGTCCTACCAACGTAAGAATAAGGAAATCTAAACAACGTTGGAATTAGTAAAACAGACGACGTTTGCATAACGTTGGAATAGGTCCTGAAAGTGACGTCGGAAAACTCTTTATTGCCCAACATTGTAACTACGTTGTCTGAATCACCTAAAGATCACTTAAGCAAAAAAGGTTCCAAGACAACGTTTATTCGACGTCGCAGAAGCTTTTACTTTGTTGTAGTACTAGTTCAACGTCGGCACAACGTTACAACAACGTTTACATTTATTTTAATACCCAAGGTACGGAGCTAACTATTTTTTGTAACTAATCCAACGTAGTGTTTAGTAAACATGTGGTCGCCAGTCGTGAAAATGCTACTTGGGTTGAGGCCCCCTTTCTAAAATTACAACTCATCATACAGTCTCAGGGCTTTGACAAAAGCCAGTTTCTGAGACCGTTTTACAGAGGTTAGTTCTCCATCTCTAATAACTAATGAGGTGTTCTGGTGTTTCTTCTGCATTCTTGGTGTCTGCTGTGGTGTTAATTGAGGTGATTTTTTGTTCCTATTTAAATTTCCTTTACCATACAACTACTTACAACAAATTCTCTCTCAGTTTGAGCTGCTTCTACATCTTCAGAAGAGTTTGAAGCTGCTTCAGCCCACGGTGAATCGATTACTATAGATATTCTTCCTTAAAGAAAACATTTTGTTATATTTATTAAATAATTTAAATTTTGTTATTAATTATTAAACGTAGGTACCTTTTTGTTGTGCTCTAAACTCATTATCGTAGATATGGTACGCTTTGGCATGTGCCAGGACATGCACGTAAGCACACTCGTATAATCCTAGACCTGCCAGAGTATATCCAGGAGCTTTTGATCCGGAGTCGTACCTAAAAACGACAATATAGCGTTAAATACGTCTAAAAAAATGACCGAACATTCTCAGAAATTTTTATTTACATTCCTAGAGTTAGTTTTTTCTTTATTGTTTTTCGTGGTTCCAATTTTCGGAATCGGACACTAGTTAGGTTACTAGTTTGCGCACATAGCACGCCCACTTATGGCCTCTAAAATTGTGCACAGCGCCTGACCGGCACAATTATTAGAGAGATATCGGAAAACCGAATAGCGTCATGCAGTATTTACGCGTACCTTATCATGGTTGCGATATGCGCGAGTCAATTTTTAACGCAACGCCCGCTAATAACGTTACCGCCTGACGTAATTTGCGGATCAATTACACCAAGCGCTATTTCTAAATAACGTTTAAAAATTGCTTAAATGAGCATGTGCGGGTATTTGACAACCGGGGCCGGCCGGCGAGATCTTTTATTTTAGGTTATGTTTGAATTGTTTTGAATTATTACTTTAGTTTTATTAGGTAATTTGATATTTAAGTAGCTGGGATTAGTTTTAATTAAATAAATATGGCCTAAAATATGGATTCCACCTCTTTCAATATTAAAGAACCTATAAAGAGGCTTAGGTTTATAGCAGATGACGACTTAGCCCTTCTAAGAGAATTTGTTGCTTGTTGCCCTAAACCCACTGGCAGACGTTGAACAATAAAGCACTGGAAATAAGCACTTTAGCCCTTTAGTTTTAAAATACCTAGTAAACAAAACAATTTCAAAGTTTTAAATTCAAAGTTAGGTTAAGTTTAAATAGCGGACGCGACGCGAACAGAATTCTTTCCGATCCGGTAACTATAAAAATAAAGCGAGTTAATACCATCTCACGTAAAGGAAATAACACCTGGCCTTATTAACGTCCATGCACGCTATTCGGTTTAGCGATATCTCTCTATTACGCTGTTTATTGTTATTTTACGCGAGTTTATTATTGCGCACAGGAAATTTTAATCGTTTGCACATCGTCATAAAAAACAATTTTCGTACCACGAATTAGGGGACAAGATTTTTATCTGTATACATATAGTATACCTAATCTGTGGTACTACTTACTCTTAGGAAGGTACTTACCCTCCCCAGCATGTTGATTGAGGTTCGTTCAGGGTGATCCAGGTTTTTACATACTCTCCGAAATATTTAAAAGCGATCCTAGAATATTCTGCGAAGTATTCTGCGGTTATTGGATTGGTCCAGCCTCCCATTTGGTGTAGAATGATTGGTAGATCCCAATGATACAGGGTTACCATAGGTTCAATATTATTTTCTTTCAGGGTCTGCAAAAGTTATATTTTTCATTTTTGTAAGATAAATGAAACAAGAGTTGTAGAACCTTTAGGACATTGATGTAATAGTCAATGCCTTTCTGGTTTATGTTGTTGACGGTTCCGTTTGGCAGTATCCTACTCCAGGAAATTGACAGTCTGTAATGCTGAACGCCTAGGTCCTTCAGAATCTGGATATCTTCCTGCCATTTGTGATAACTGTCACAGGCAACGTCACCGTTGTATCCCAGATCGATTTTGTCTGGATAGGTGTGAGTATACCAGTCCCATAGCTGTTCCTATTTTTGTATAATTATATACAGGGTGTTTCAAAACAAATGCGAAAAACTTTAGGGGGTGATTCCTTGTTCAAAATGAAGGGTAGTTTAAAAAATCACAGATTTCTTTAATGTAAGAGGCTTGTAACAGGTGTTAGTTTGGGATAAAAAATATTTTCTATTTATTAGGTTTAAAATAAAATAAAAATAGTCTGTTACGAGATCTAAAAAACCTTATCGAATTGTTTTTTAGGGATTAAACTATACTATATCAGTTAAAACATTTGCATTTAGTTTTAAAAAACACCCTATATATTTTTTTAAATTATTTTTATTACCCCTTTTCCATCCTCATTCCACGCCCCTTCAATTTGGTACGCCGCTGTTGCAGTGCCGAAACTAAAACCGTCTGGAAACGTACGATTGCTGAGTGTGGCGTCCCCAAAAACACTGAAAATAAAAACAAAGTCATTCACAAATTAATAATAAACAAATATATTAAAAAAATAATAATAAAATGACAGTTAGTTTAAAATAGACTGTTTTGCAGTTGAATTTCATGGATTTGAACATTTTTTTTAATGTTTGAAGATTAGAAAACATAGTATTTTACCCATAGAACACACTAACCAAGGTATGAACAAGAAAACTATAAACTTGAACATGGTTTAAGCACTTTCTATATAATTATTGTTATTCAACTAATTTTAAAAAAGATGTATTATTTAATAAAAGCACTTTCCTGAAGTGTCTTATCTATCAAGTAAAAATCTCGAGTATATAGATATGAATGAATAATGACGTTTTTAAGTGTACCTATATTTGTTTATTTTTTTTTTTAATTTTAAAGGAATTTTACAAACAAGTTAAGTGTTTTTATGCAAAATAATTATCGCTTGAAAAGAGTTGCTATGGAGCTCTGAATTAATAGAGGTAGGTATACAGGGTGTCCCAAGCTGAGCGTGTATTAGAAGTGTCTAGATAACTACAATATTTAGATCGGAGATTTTTTGCAGTTCATTGTTTTACAACGAGATCTATCGATTAGAAATATTTTCATTATGGCGGCACTTCCGGAAATACCGGAAGTTGCCAGCAACTTTTTTATTTTAAATGGGTACCCCCATTTTTTATTACATACATACTTAAATTCTCGGTAAAATTTTATGAATTTTGATGTCAAACACTCTATACCTAACATTAACCGTTTTTGAGAAAAAAATATACAGGGTTGTTCACCACATACGACACGGAGTATTGTAGCTAAACGATGAGATTTTTACAAATTGTAAGTTTGGGGTTCGATGAAGGACTATTAGAGGTACAATTTAAAAATAATTTTACAAGATACAGAGTGTCCCAAATAAGTAAAAAATATCAAAGTTGTATTTTTCTAAATGGAACACCCTGTATATTATTGCAGTTTTAGTTTCTACGATTAAAATAAAGGTAAATTTGATTAAGGTTTATTATACTTAAACCTTACCGTTTTTGAAATATTTTCAATTTTGTGAAATTGCAGTAAAAATTTTAAGGCTTCATTCCTCCAAGGGTACCAAAGTTTTTAATACTAAATATTTACTGAAGTTTATTTATTGATCAGTTATTGTGTTGCAATAATAAAAATAATACTACCTTATACAGAGTGTCTAAAAATTTATTTTAAATAATTATTAGCTTCAAACGGCAATAACTTGTTTAATTTAAATGGGACACCCTGTATATTTTCAGTAGTATTATTTAGTATTTCTGAGAATCAGATGCACAATTTAATTGTCTATCAAATTATATTATACCATTTTTTACCTATCTCTTTAAGTTTCCGTAGAAAATGCATTTTCTTGTAATTTAGAATTTATTTATCAATATACCCATGGAATATTGACATTTTAGATTATTTTTAAAGATGTACCAAATTTTTAAAGAGTACAGATACTAATATTGTGGATATAATTCGTTTATTTCATTAAAAAATAAAAAAAAAACTGTTTAAATATTTGTTAAAGAGGACCAATTAATATGATTTCAGTATTCAAACTACATTAACTGACTGCGTTGATTAATAATAATTGCTCCAAATACTAAAAAACTGATTTTTGTATGGGTATTAGACAGTGTGATAAAAAGTAACACCTTAAAAATGATATTTCATTTTTTAATAAATGCTTATTTATAATAACAGAGACTTTAATTTTGATAACTTATTATTATATTCATTTCTGACTCAAATCCACATTTATTTAGAATAATTTATTAACGAATACAATTAAGTATGTAATTAATTAGTATATGGGCGGAAATAATGGTGTTATATTTAATTAATGGTATACTCTTTTATAAAGATTTAAATACTTTTAGCATACATTATCGTTTTTAGCAAAACGAAAATATTACTAGAATGTCAATATTTGATGTCAATATTCCATGGGTGTCAATATAAAATGTCAATATTCCATGGGTATATTGATGAATGAGGTCTAAATTATAAGAAAATGCATTTTCTACGAAAACTTGAAGGGTTAGGTAAAAATGGTATAATACAATTTGATAGACAATTAAATTGTGCATCTGATTCTCCTAAAATATACAGGGCGTTCCATTTAAATTAAAAAAGTTATTGGCGTTTAAAGCTATAAATTATTTAAAATAATTTTTTAGCCACTCTGTATGAGGTAGTATCATTTTTTATTATTGCAACACAATAACTGATCAATAAATAAACTTCAGTAAATATTTAGTATTAAAAACTTTGATACCCTTGGAGAAATGAAGCCTTAAAATTTTTACTGCAATTTCACAAAATTGAAAATATTTCAAAAACGGTAAGGTTTAAGTGTAATAAACCTTAATCAAATTTACCTTTATTTTAATCGTAGAAACTAAAAATGTAATAATATACAGGGTGTTCCATTTAAAAAAATACAACTTTGATATTTTTTCCTATATTTTGTTCCTATATATAACTATTTGTTCCTATACCTAAAATAAATCGTTTTTAAGTTATTTAAGATTTAGTTTTAAAGAGTATATTTTTATTGATTTTAACCTGTAGCCTATGACCTTAAACGTCAAGTAATGTAAAACAATAGATCTGGCCATATCATATTTTACTTTTTGGTGATTAGTATGCCAAGTATTTCAGACTGCTTTTAAAGAGAATTACGGTATTGCTTTAATTTGGAATTGTAGGGATTGTTTTTCTGCCATTTCTGGAATTTATCCAAAACTTTAACGTCTAGACGGCGACTCTATGGCTCCGGAATCTGGAATATATACAGTTCAATGTGTTTTCTGTCTCTGTTTGACTGTAATATACCAAGAAAAATAAATAAATGTTAATAATTCATTATAATTTGTTATAAGAAAGAACAAAAAATACCAGGGTGGTCCAAACTGTATTCCGGAAACTTATCCGGCATATGCTCTACTCAGTAGTTTTATACAGCTACTATTACTCAGTAGTTTTATACAGGTACGGACGAAAAGTTTATGACTCAACTTCAAACCAGTTAAAAAATATGTACGTGGCGCCCTCTACAAGTAGGGGTCATATTGACATCAAAATCAAATTTCTCATGTCAAAAAAATCCCAGACACCAATTTTCATCCAAATATTGACGGTACTTCAGAAATTATTTGAAAAAAATTGAATTAAAAATGAAACTTTCACACCCTGTATCTCCGAAACTAAGCATTTTAGGACATATATTTATACAAACTTTTTTACTTATTTTTATCTGCAGAATATGCTGCCAAAGTTTCCGGAATACAGTTCGGACCACCCTGTATATTCTTCCATAATTTCCAGTATTGTTAGAATATTTTTTCTCTCTACTAGTTCGTTGTACCAACTTATATTAAACGTTAATTTCTTTGTGCTATATCCTAAAATTTTAAACTCTATACTACTTAGTAACCCAAGAAACCCATTTTTTACGAAGGATTTTGCTAGAATTACACACTGAAAACGTATTCTAACTCTCAAATCGTTAAGAAAAATCCCAAATCCCCTTAATCTGCCTTTATCTAAATCTCCGAATTCTCTGCTTGTTCTAAAACCTCCGGATTCCTTATTCTCAACCCGACTTAATGGCGTTTTTCCTGGGAAAAAAGGAAAATCTGGATCAATGGAAAACGACACAGTTGGTCGTTAAGATCGTATCGGTAAGTTTTTAAAAGGCCCGAAGAAAATTTAAGGAGAGTGGAGACGTTGATGCCAAGTTTCCAGATTTTTCCTCGCGCACTGAAAAAAATTTAATTATTAATCTATACTAATCTATACCAATATATAAAATCCTTAAGTGACTGACATACTGATTAATCACGATCCTGCTCAAACCACTCAACGTAAGAAGCTCAATTTTGGCATACAGGTTGATTCTAGGGTGTAGAGGTTCGATAAGAAGGGATTTTTCGAAATTCCAGTTTTATGGGGGTGAAACCACCCTTTAAATATTACAATATTTTTTATTTAAAAAACGGTCAAGTTTCCGAAAAAACGCTTAAACACGTATATTTTATTTTGTTTCTTTACATATTTTAAGATTTTTTAAAAATGTATACAGGGTGTTTCGAAAAATCTGGTCATTGATTAATCACGATCCTGCTTAAAGCGCTTGACGTAAAAAGCTGATTTTTGGAAAACAGATTGACTTTAGGGTGTAGAGGTTCGATAAGAAGGGATTTTTCGAAACTCGAATTCTAAGGGGGTGAAACTATCCCTCAAATATTAAAATATTTTTTTATTTAAAAACCGGGGTTTTTTGGCAAAAACTCTTAAACACGTATATTTTATTTTGTTGTTTTACATATTTTAAGATTTTTTATAAATTTATACAGGGTGTTTCATAAAATATAACCATTGAGTAATCACGATTCTGCTTAAACTGTTCGACGTTTAAAGCTGATTTTTGGCAAACGGATTGACTGTGGGGTGTAAAGGTTCGATAAGGAGGGGTTTCTCGAATCTCAAATTCCAAGAGGGTGAAAACGCCCCTCAAATATTACAATATTTGTTATTTAAAAAACGGTTAGTCTTTCGGGAAAACGCTTGGACAAGCATAATCTATTTTGTTTTTTACATATTTTGAATTTTTTTAAAAAATCATACAGGGTGTTCCAAAAAGTTGGGTAATTTCTTAACCACGATTCTGCTTAAACTGCTTGACGTAAAAAGCTTATTTTTGGCAAACGGATTTCTCGAAAGTCAAATTCCAACGAGATGAAACTACCCCTCAAATATTACAAGTTATATAATAATATCGCCATATTGTTTTTTCTCATGCTGACATAAATGTGAGAAAATTGTATCCCGTTTGTATGTTAATGGAAATTCTAGCTTTGCTTTATCATCACCATTACAAATGATTAATTCGACACTCTAATAAAATGTTTAAATTTGTTGTTAATCTATAGTATTAGTACAAGAAGTTGGCAATTTTAAAAGATAAATTTACATTGAATAAGTAAATTTACTATGAGATTTTTTACATAAATTGACAAATAATATTGGTGAATATAAAGATATATTATAACATATTTACATACATGCCACAAATTAGCCATACAGCGATTTTACAAACGATAAATTTACTACAATAATCTGTGGCAAGAAATAACCATCGATAATGTTATTAAATTCAAAAATTATTTTTTTTGTGTAGAATAACAGCATCTTAATTCCCATTAATAATGTCCCAAGAGAGTTAGCTTATGTTAATTCAATAAAAAATAAAATTAGTTATAGCGCGTTAGAACAACTTG